TGTCTGTGAGTTTGTTTCTCGACCTGCTGTACCCGACTGTCTGCTGGATTCGTTATTGACTTCTCCAGCCAGAAATCTTACTTTACAAAGATCTTTGTTGACATTTCTGCAGGCTGGAAGAAAAATGTTTGAAGCACACTTTAGTCAAATATCATTTTCCCACAAAGGCATGAAGAAATATGAACCTTTATTCATACGCTCAGACAATAATCTACTTCGTCACCAGAGTTACATTCAGTTTGGGTTCTTATTAAGGACAACTTAAAACTAGGATTGACCTAAACAATGTCTGTGTGTGTCTGTGTGTGTCTGGTATAGCTATACCTGTGGGGACATTTTTAAAAAAATATATACACATACCATTGTAGAGGGGACGATTTGTCCTTATGGGGACTTTTTGTCGGAAAATAATATACACATACCATTGTAGAGGAGACACTTTGTCCTTATGGGGACTTTTTGTCGGACCGTCCCTCGATGAGAGACTAGTTTCAGGTATATATTGAGTTTGGAGTAAAATAGGATCAGATTAGATTTAGCCTAAGGAAAAGGATTGGACATAAATTAGGGTAAGGATAAGACAAAGTGTGTGCGGTGGGGCCCACTTGTGGGGAATGTAGGCATGACAAGTTATTTTCTCCTTTTTAACTTTGTGCGCCCTGAATGAAAACAGACAAACTTAATGGAAATGTCAACCCTGACACGACAACAGAGGTTGTATGGTGAGCAACGCAGAGTCCCAGGGCCTACAGTTTAACACCAACACTCGACTTGACCTTTAACACATTAAATATAACATATGTAGAATCACTGATAGACTAACTGAATTCTAACAGTTGGTTGGTAAATAAAACAGATTAGGTAATCCGTTACAGCTGAGCGAAAGGTCCAGAACACATTTATTTGACAAGATTATAATTCTTTTGTCGACCCTAAATGAGAAGAAGAATCTGCAGTGTAGCCTTTTGTTGAAAAACTGCACAGTGCCACAGAGATGAAGCACAGGAATAGCAGTGGGAATCTCATGCTACTGTCACCCTGGTTTCCTGTCACTGAGTCTTGTTGTGAACCAGGCTGCTGTTTCCTCCTCCCGTCTCCACTCCTGCTATTTATATCCTGCTTTGTTTACATTCCATTGTGTCATGACGAAGGAGTCATGAATGACTTTACCAGGCCTTTATATATAGACTTTTTTTTTTTGCGGACCTCAGTATTTTGGTACTCAGAAGAGATCATTCTAAAGAATATTCTTCTTTAAAATACAGCCAATTATTGTACACGCAAAACTTGTGTATGTATTCAAGTGTAAGTATTAAATACCAAATATGCTCTTTTTTACATATGTTCATAAGTAATTCAGTTAGTTACTGCAATTTGTACCTTATGTTAGGCGTTGTTGTTAAGTAATACATCCACTAGGGGTAGTTCTGAGTTTAGATTTTGAGCATTTTAAAGCCTTGAAACTGAAAGGGCAAAAAGTATTTGTAATTAAATGTAACCATCATCTCGTAGTTTCTACTTATTCACAATGTACTCTGTGTTCAGACCTGGGCCTGTTTAGTTGAACACTACGCTGATAGAACTGCAGGAATTGAAGAAAGAAACAAACCACATTTTAAGATTTTTTTTTTCAAATGTAAAGCTCAAACTTTTGTTGTGTGCTCTTTTCGTACTGATTTTTTTCTGCACTTTTACAGTCTTTTTTTTTTTTTGTGTGTGTGCTGTTTTCGTACTGATTTTTTCTGCACTTTTAGAGTCTTATTTTATAACAAATTATCAAAAATAATACACTGTATAACAAATTATCAAAAATAATTATAAGAAAACACTGCCCCATAAACACCTCGTCTGCCTTTTCTATTTCCACTCCTCCACCTTCACCTCTCTCTGTCTCTTTGTATGCAGTAAACACAAAATAGTATTGCAATTATCGAAGTTTCAGGCACTGACAAAGAGAACTTCTCGGAGCGCTCCTCCTTGGGTGACTTGCATTGATTTACATCTATTTGCCGAAATTTATTTTCATGCATTTTGAGCTGAATCATTTCTTATTTGCGATCAGACTCTTTCACAACCTCTCTGCGGTTATTTCCCAGTGAGAGGGATTCAAGCCACGTAAACACATTCTGAATAATCAACGGGTTTTTTTCTGTATGTGAATGTTTACTGCTGCGTGAGGCTGTTTAACGTCGTTAATGAACAAAGTAACAGAGAGTGAGTTTTCACCAGACCCTGGACTCGAAGCATCGACAGATGATCTTCCTCTGTAGATTATATAGAACCCTTCACCCATGCGTCTGACTCCTTTAGTCATGATCGCAAATTTTGATCCAGCGTTAGCATGTGTAGGCATGCGAGCCTGTCATCATATAACGTTACTGCCCCAGAAACAGGTTGTCATTCGAGTGCACGCTCACAGTTTCATTAAGCCTGGGCATGCTTTACTTATCACAGGACCTGATGCAAGCACATGAGTGGTTATAATATGGCGGGACATTGGACTGGCAGCACAGACTGTTGGCTCCTAACAGGACTGAAGCAGATTTGGGGTAAACATGGCCCACCAGGCTCTCGCAGTTCTGACTCAACACCCGCTACTGGCCATGAAACAAGACAGCATGGGTTTTTTTTTTAAACGTGGACCAGAATAATAACGGATTATTGTATTTTCAGTAAGAGTAGTGAAGAAAAGGAAAAACTAAACCACACTCTTAACATGATGATTATTAATAACTCAGATTTAATGAACATTTATCAACATTTTAAATATTAGTAAAACCTTTGTTATACTCTTATAAAGTAATCAGATTAAAATTTGTAACAAATTTTAACACACAGGCAGAACGATGCCCTCTGTGTATCCAAAGATTCCGTTGAATTATCATAGCGCTAATACAGGGGTTCCCAACCCCTGGTCCAGGCCAGCTGGGTTTTACTAAAGTCGTCGTTGTCAAATTTGTCTGACACGTTTGGACACGTCTGCTGTGAACTTTGGTTTTCGGGATTGTTATGTAGCCGACAGACGAACAGCGTCTGCGACACATCAGCTACGTCTACGAGAGCTTTTCTACAACGCTCTTTCATGTAAGACACGTTGGGAAGAACAAAGTCAGTCTTTCTGACAGCTACAAACCGCACAGGGTAATTTTACCAGCTCAAATAAACACTCACGCCACTCATTCCATGTGCACAAAAGCACCGTCATGTCCTGTCTGTCAGTGTAAAAAAAAAAAAAAAAAAGTGAAGGAGTTTGACCTTTTGTTTTGTTTTGTTTTTTTCTCCCTCTCTGTCATCGTGTCTACAGAGTGGAGAGAAACAACACGTGTAAACTGTACGGTCACTTGTCACGTGGAAACGGAGACAACGGCGCAGTATTCACACGTCCAACAACACCTCCTGAGTGTACACACTCACTCGTCCCACTTACACAAGTGTGGACGTAGTCCGTCCAGCGCACTCGTACACTTCACATTAGGTAACTCACGCCACCATTCGTCTGCTGCCTGGTGTGTGTATGTGTGTAGTGTGTGTGTGTGTATTTAGTCGCCTACTAATACTTATATAATCGTTGAGCGTATCTTTGAGCTCCTCCGTCATCTAGGTCATTGTTTTCTCAGGAGTTGGGATCAGAGCGACTGCACCGTATGCTGTTTAAATAAAACATACGTTTAATTTTTTATGTTGAAAAAAAGACTCCCATAAATTTACGGAGAACTTATATTTGCCAGACAAAGCCAAAAAAAAAAAAAAATGCACATTTATTTATAGTCTGTTCTTAAAATTTCTGCATCAATATTCTGTGGACGTAGTTCAGTGAGGAGGGAGTCGTTCTACCCAGAAGGCCTAGGTTTGAATCCAGCTTCTTTTCAAGTAATCCCAACAGGAACTACTGCACTCTGTTTCCCCATCATCCCACAGAGTGTTATTCCCAGGACAACATAAGGAGGAATATATATATATTATAACCAGTGTCCCTCTGGAAACACAGACAGAGACAAATCTAAGTAAATATACAGTATCTGATCAACCTCATACTGTATTTATAAAATATACTGTTATAATCACTATTCTATATATACAATTATACATATACATACATGCGCCCAAATATGTAAAATGCATTTATATATGTAAATATATAAATATATGTATTTGTATATTTGTATTTTACTTTGTGCACAATACTGCATATGCATAATATATGTATGCATAAACATATATATACTGTATACATATATAAATATATAGACACAAATATATATATATCCATAAAATTTGAACTCTTTCAATAATATTATACTGTACCCATAACCATCACTTATGTAACTAGTACTTGATAGTACTTCTACCCGTGCCGGTGTCTGACTGACCGTCTTTTCAGTGAGGATTCTCTCGACGGCTCACTGGGATTTGCAAAAATCTAAAACTATAGAACGAGCGTTGATGCTTTTTAGAAACACTGCTGAACGTATAAATTATGCATGAAATAAAGTTTGTGAATACATTAACACTAAGTAGTGACTACATAATGACCCCCCCCCCCCCCCCCCCCGGGGGGTTTGAACACAAACAAATTGGGCTTTACTTTCCATTCCATCATTTCTTACCCAAACCCAGCGCCTTGACAAAACTTTGCAAAAGTGATTAAATCTCATGTTTTCCACACCCGGGACAGAGACGGTGAGTGTGGTGAGCTGTGTATGTCTTTATAGACAAGTATGTCTTCACATGGTCCAGCCAGGTCAAAACTAGCGGTCGATAAAATATCTAGAGATTTTCCTATAAATCTTTGACAGCAGGGCCATAAATACCAAAGTATTTTTACCAAAATCTCTGACTGAAAAATGTTCTACCTTGATGTAGGAAGACCCATTTATGACAAGGTCATGTGATGTACGAAACATTTTTGGTTCATCAACATTCCCACAGACTTGCATCACGAAAACTCTGCATATTTTATACTCTATACTTTATTTTTCATTTTTCTCCGGCCAGTTACATATTTTATACTCTTTTTATTTTTCATTTTTCTCCGGCCAGTTCACAAATCACTCTCTGAAGACTTTCCTTTACTTTCATTACTTTTTTTTTCTTTTTACCAAATATGTTAAACAGTTCTACTGCAGGCAATGATAAGGCATTTCTTACTGTGAATATTGCATATTGCTTCAGAGTTTGGTTGATTTTCTGAGGTAAAACTTCATACCGATTACCTGCTCCTTGACCTTTGCAAAATGCTCTCACACACTCAGTACAAATGGGTGTATTTAAATACAAAAACAGCCTTTTTGCAGGGGAACTTCTGTCACGATGCCAACAGAGTGTGAGGCCTTTGAAACGAGCGTCCGTCATCAGTCGAAGCTACAGTGGAGTGCTGTTGCATCTCTCCAGACCCTTTAATTTAAAAACCCGTTGCCCCGGTCTGCACTCATCTAAAAAGTCAAGGACTGGGTTGTCAAATGTGGACTCCGTCTGTGAGCCGACACAGTTGGTCTGCGTTGAGATTTTCTCCTCGTCTTCCTCCATCTGCTCCTGCGTGGATGACACGCTGCGGCAACTGAGAGCCCGAGCGATGAGGCGGTCGAGAGGTTTGAGAGAGTGCATCCACTGAGGGAGAAAGTCCCAACTCTGGAGCTTCGAGGGGAGGCGATGAGGACTGTGGGCCTGCAGTACATTGACGATGCCAATGAAAATGGTCACGCCCAGGAAAGGGGCTCCGACGCCCGTCATCACCCTCCAGCCAGCCAGTGAGAGGCCCAGCACCACGGAGGGGAGGAGCAAGAAGCTAAAGATCAGGTAGAAGACGGCGAACCAGCGGTACTTAGCGGTGCGATTACCGAGGACGCGAGCCATCTTTATGGGCAGTCGCGTAAAAGGGAGAGGATACCAGAGCAGAATGCCGAAGACGTTGAAGAGTAAGTGACACAGGGCGATCTGAGCACAAATACAAGAAGAAACCAAGAAATCTGTAGTAATCACTCATTGAGCACATTTAACTTTACTGATCAAAACAGCTGAAGCCGGTGTTTGTCAAGCTTGGGGTCGCGACCTCATGTGAGGTTGTCTAGAATTCAAATAAGGTCACATGTAAGGCTGTTTTTTAAATACTGCTTTACATTCGTTTGACACACATCACAGCATCATCCACTCTGCTAACTGTTTTTTAAATACTGCTTTACATTAGTTTGACACACATCACAGCATCATCCACATGATTTGGAGTTTTTAAACCAAATGCCAGTTTCAGACAACCCAACCTTGGATTAGGAGACTACCACTGCACCACTCTCCTGGGTTAGCCTTTAACAAAAAACTAAATGTTCTGGAGAAGTACTACAAATACTAGTACCAGAACTCCTTATCAAACTGTATTCAATTTCTCACAGAGACCAGTGTTTGAAGCTATTTTAGTTATTTTGTTTTAATCCATTTTTCTTTAGAACAGAACAACTGTCTGTACAACCCGCCAAGATTTTACAAGTGCTCAGCCAAAACCTACAATTGCAAACTATTTTTCAGACAATATTTTTTTTTTTCTGACTCTTTTTCTGACCTTAAGGAACTGACCGTCCTTTTTACCTTTTATTATAATCTCTGATCACAGTCTTTGTTTCATTTTTCCACTTGGTTCCTGACATTGTTCACATGCAGTACGTTCATTCTCCCATCATGCCCTGAAGGAATTATGTTCACAGACGTGAGGGGAGGAGAGAGCACGATTTTTCAGGTTGACAGAAAAGTCAACACAAGTACAACTTGTGTTGCCCGCTGTTGTTGCAATAGCACAAATGAGGTATTCTGGGGGGTTGTTTTTGTTCCATCAAAGGGAAACAAGAAATAAGACAACCTTTTTGAACATGTCCAAAACGTCAACCTGTGATTAACATTTTAAGAAAATTTAAAAATAAAGAAATTCAACTGTGTCAATCCTAAGCATCTTCTGCAACATCTTGAAAAATTTAATTGGCCAATTTTTACGACCAGTAGGAAGAAGTGTGAAATATGGGGTCATTACTTTCATATGTTTTCCCATTATTTCTGACACTTTAAGAAGTGGTTGGTACATGAACAGTAATCTTCAAAACAGGAAAGAAAATCCTAGAAAATCCTAGAGAATGACCTGGACTGGAAACAACAGGCAGACTTCAGATCTGACTTTTTCAAACTTCCTGAATTCTGTATCTGTATAATACAAATAAACAAAGACTTGATCGTCATCCTACCTGTAAGGCAGCTGCCAGTTTGTTGCCAGGACTGGCCAGCGCTGCCAGCAGTGCAGTGGCGGTGGTACCGATGTTGGATCCCAGCGTGAGTGGGTAGGCTCGCTCCAAACTGATCACACCGACGCCTGAGAGTGACGACAGAAACAAGGCAGGTCAAAAGGAACGAACAGATATTCTAACAGTGAGTCAGGACGTGTTTCAGATTCTGAGGAAAGGATTTGAGTCGATTTAATCCACGACAGGCATCGACTTTTTTGATAAACACAGCGACAGTAAGCGCGGATAAAAACTGTATGTAATCAGAGTCACAGTCAAACTGTCCAACAGCTGAACTTTAAAAGAACTGAAAAAAATAAATAATAATAATAATAATACTCGGTTCAAATCTTTTAAATGAACAGAAGCATTTATTTTGTACTCAGGTCAGACCTGGACAAACTACAGTCCACTGGCTCGACACTGGTACGAGGTCTGGTAAAAACTGAAGTCTGTTTTCATGCATTCACATCAAATCAACCCTAGTTTCTGTTGATGCCACTAAATGGCAGCAGAAAATCAACAAAAAGTCCAATCAATGAAGCTGAACTTCTTCTCTGCCAGAGAACAAGGCTCAAATAAATGGCTGTTTGAGGAAAAACCTCATTATCAACTCTGCTTCACTCACATACTTAGAAAAACTAAAGTTACAGGAAAATTACTCTGTGAGTTTAATGTTTATTTTCTGCCTGTGATGCATGAGCGTTAATGCCGAAACCTAATGGTTTACAGTCTAATTAATGCCGACTGCAAATCCTTCTCTCTGTGTTTCTTTGTTTCATTTCAACTAACAATTACTTTTTAAATTAAAAAAGGATTCTCATATCACGTGCACGGCTGTGTAGCAGACGGAGGAGTCTGGAGTTTTATGCTTCATTTGGCCTGTGCAGTACACTGCTGGTTATGTAACCTGGTGTTCAGACTCAGTCCCTGGAAATGAAGAGGCTTATGTTCTTATTTGGCCATTAGTCAAGGAGGAAATTATAGGGGAGTGAGTTTGGTTCACATAAAAAAAAAAAAAATAACCAACAATAATGAGGGAGTTAAATGAGGGAGTTAAACTCTCCAGCAACACTAGTCAACGATGGGTTAACTGGCTGCTGTGGTAGTAAACAGTGACACCAGGATACAGGAATACACCGGCTGTTCTAGGAATGATTGACATTTGCCACTATTGTGTGGGCAGCATTTTCTCTCCAGCAACACCCGTGGTGTCAACTACAAACACCTGTTTCAAAATTAGATGTAAAAGCTGAATTATGACCTTGATTTTATTTTTTTATTGCTTTTCTAAGCAGATATAAAACCTCAGCTCCATCCCTGTTTCATAAAGATATGGGGGTGAAGCCAACTGCCAACCCAAGTCTGGATAACAAACCCACACAGAGCCACAACTTCAGGCATGAATTATAAACCCAGCTCAGTTAATATAGAAACTACAGCAGCCGGGCCTGGGTAAGAATGCTGTGTTCATTAATGGCTGACCCTGTTCTCTGCCCTCAGCGCCGTCTTTACCATTTTCTGTCCATCGATTGACTGACAGCTAACTATGCACCTGCTACAGCCTTTCTAATGCACAATGTATTATTTATCATGAAACCTTTTCACATATCAACAGAATGATGATAAGGAGAAGTGACTCTAGTGAATGGCAATAAAAACGACCCGAAGTAAAGGTTAACCTCTGAGTTTTACTTTGTTTTGATTTTTTTTACCCATCTATTCATCTATTAGCTACTGCTTATGCTTTTGCAGGGCCACAAGGGGGCACTGGAGCCAATCCTATCTGTCAACAGACAAGAGGGGGAGGGACTTAAACAGTTCACCAGTTCATCACTGGGCCATTCAACAACCACTGTTGCTAACATACAAACCTATGGTCCATGGACCAAACCAGTGCCACTAGGTGGGAGTAATTAGTCAGTTCTTTGACAAGCTCCAATATATTAAAGACATTTAAAGACAAAGACTAAACTCAGGGACCATATCCGTCACGTCACCTACCGACGAGGGGTGTGATGGCTGAAGTGAAGACAGAACTACTCTGGACCACAAACGTCACTCCTGCTCCCACCAACATGGCCACGTATCCAGCCAGCCACTCAAACGGAGAAGGCAGGTCTGTTGAGACACAGTTTCAGGAAGAAATGAGCGACTGCACAAACAGAAAACACTGAGAAAATGCTTCAGCAGCTCATGGTCTGCCCACCTGTGTTGATGACCTTATGTATGACTTTTGCTACGTGACCTTTGAGGAGAGAGTTAAGCAGCTTGACCAGGAGCAGCAGACAGGAGCAGAGGGCGGTCAGGGAGGCTGCCAACAGAATCAGACCCACGGCGAGGTCTGATAACTGGGTAGAAACGAAGAGATGACGACCTGCAGAGTGAGAAGCCGTCGTCAGACAAACAGATCACAGACAGAAAAACATCAACTCCATCCCCAGGTCCAGACTGGATGAAGATACTCCCTCAGTTGTTTTATATTTGGTATTCTGTGTTCGTCCCTGGTTGGATCATGTGTCTCACCTCCTGTCCCCCCTCGAGGGCTTCACTTCCTGCCCTCCCGTGTCCACATTACTACAGCCACCTGTGTCTTCCTCCTGTGTTTCCCTCCACTGTGATTGTCTAAACCTTTCTACCTGCGTCTCGTTAACTCCTGCCTCAGTCTCAGGGTCACATTGGCGTTATGATTGGCTCAGATGGTATTAAAGATAAAACCTGTCTCTGAATTTGATCATTGATTCAAAAAACATATTTTGTTTGTTTTATAACAAATCTAACCTTCAGGTAAATGACAATAAATATATCTGCAGATGTAAATATGTTTACAATTTCTAATTCTAAAGGAGAAAAAAACCACAGTATGTTAAACAATGTAGAAGAAAATGACTGCAAACAGCCCTGCAGGGGGCGCACATAACAGACAAAAAATATTTTTAAAAATTAAATTGCATTAAAATATACACTTGTTAACACAGTGAATAGATAGAGTGGTAGACACTTGTGGGCCACCCAAAATGACTTTATGGGCCAGATCCAGATTGACACATGGTATAACAGTCCAACTGGCACCAGTTTACTTCTCGTCCAGCAGTTGACTTCACTTCAGCCTCAACACTGGGTTTGTACTCACACTTTACTAATGAGTGAAGTGAGTCTGGGGCGGGACCACAGGAATCTGAGCACCCGATGTCTGTGGGCTGAGGACAGAAAAGAAGGAAGGAAGGAAGGAAGGAAGGGAGGGAGGAAGGAAAGGAATATTCATCATGAGCACAGACAGGTTATTGTCTGTAACACGGCGTCTGCAGAACAGGAGAACCACGGAGGTGAGTTATTACCAGGAGGTCAGGGCAGCACCACTCCTTCACCAGACTCCTGTTCCTCATCTCCTCGTTTCCCAAAGCAATCCCTGTGATCACACATTGGTCCAACTGAAACCAGATCAAATACCATCATTAACGTCTGTACTGCAGTACTCACTTAAGAGGAAAGGAGTAAATACCAAAGGTTGTTCCGATGGCTGTTTATTAATGTGATGATGAGTTCAGGGAGCGTTCCCCTCGGCAGTAAATATAACGTTGACCTCACCGTGACCTCGACTCCTGTTCATGCCTTGCTGGCAGTGCAGCATGGAAATGTCTCTGCACATCATCATTCATAAGGCTTTCAGATGTAGAGTCAGTGTGAGGGTGGTGTCATCAGCTGATGGTAACCTAGCAGTTTTTAGGTGGCAAAGACTTTTTTTTTTTTCTGCCTCTGTTTGGAAACAACCCGTAGTTTGGTTGCACACCACAGGTGTGAAGTGATCACAATGACCAAATGAATATCAATATCACCCTGCTGTGATGCCCACCTGTATGATGAGATTGGTGACCGGCTCAGTGATGACCTTCAGCAGCTCTGGAGCCTCTTCCCCAGGCTGGAGCTGGAAGCTGGTGACCAGCAGGTGGGACAGACGGGTCATGAACCCAGTCACCGCCTCCAGTGGCAGCAGGACGAGGACTGACAGCCAGTTGAAGCAGTCGTGGATCGTCGCCGCGGCGAAGGCTCTGCGACAGGACATATTTGGGGTTTTTTTTGTGGTAAGGTCAAAATAATCTGGACAAACGACTACTCTGAATGATTGAAGTGTAATCTGCTTTCCATGGCTTAACCTTTTGCTGGACGTGTGACGTTATGACCGTTTTAGTTCGGACGCCAATTTTCCGTTGAGTATAATTGAAAGACGAATGTATTATATTTATTTTAGCAGGGAGGTTGAATAACACGCCATCTGTTCAGCCGTGTCTTTTGATGCCAACAGACAATCGGTGTGGGATTACTGTGAAACGGGTGACATTATTGTCCGCGTTAAAGAAACCACACTCCACACTGAACAGAGCTGTTACAGAATTCTCTTCACCCTCCGCACTTTCACCTCACCTCTCTCAATCTTACTCCTCACTTATCCTCTTCAGATTTTCATTTCAGGTGCGCTCCCCCACCCCGCTCTCCCCCTCCCCGCTTCCTCGCTCTGCTCCTCTGGCCTCCTCCCCCTGCACTCACCCTCAGTGTTTTCTTCACTCACCGCTGGAACTCAGTCCTCTCCGCCGCCTGCATCAGAGCCACTATGGTGTTCGTGACTGAAGTGCCAATGTTGGAGCCCATGATGATGGGCACAGCCGACCTCACCTCCAGCACTGTATTCATTCAGGGAAAACAACATCGTCAGTGCAGTAAACATTACCATGCAGGACGTCAACACGCGACACCTGTCGTGTGTCACGGCGACTTTTAACCGAATGAAAGCTGATTATAATTCACCGGTTGGTGGAGTCAGCTCAGCCTTTCACACTCTAAGGGGATTTTAATGGTGGAGGACGTCTCTAATGATAATGACCTGGAGGACATATGGTAACATACACACAGTCACAGACGTACGCCCACTGCTCTGCGTCGCACTGATAATTACCCGTAATTTCTCTCTTAGCTCATTTTCAGAAAAGCTTTAGAGACGGGGAGGAAACTCCTGAATACTGATCGACTTTAGACCGGCTTCAGACACACGACGTGCATCTCCATGTGTTGGTCTAATGAGGCATGGTGATTTCAGACAGGTCATGACATCTCCACGTGTTGGTCTAATGAGGCATGGTGATTTGAAGTCTGAGTAAAATGGATGGAGATTAAAGTATGAAAAATGGTTTTATGTTTTTCTCCACTCAACTGATTAAATTCACCCGTGATTATGCAAACCTAAATCTTCCCCGGCGTCAGCGAAAGTTTCCTCCCGTCTACACATTGATACGTTGATTTAAACATGATTTACTCGCTCGTTTGCTTGTTGATGCTAGGCAGCCAAACAAAATGCAAAATTTCTCGGCGTCCTCTGGAGGAAACACAGATGTGTCGCCGCTGTGAGTCACAACAGCGACGCTCTATTACGATGGTAATTAAAATTAATAGGATAGTATTAGTCGGTGCCACACGAGCATCATGACAGTTTTTTATTTTTCTTCACTGCTGCATCTTTTCCCTGTTCTAACGCCCGGGTGTTTTTTTTTTGGGCCACGGTTTAAATCCAGTGCAGCATCATATGGACACACACACTCGCCCTCAAACACACTAATATGTGTGTGTGTCTACTCACGTCCAGAGGCCACCAGGCTGACTATAATAGAGGTGGATGTTGATGAGCTCTGAACCAGCACGGTGACTAAGACCCCGACCACCAGTCCTGCCACCGGGTTAGACAGCACCGCATTGTCCTGGAAAATGTCCCCCGCTACTTTCCCTGGGTGAAGATGCCACCCACAAAACACACACACACACACACACAGAGAGAGAGAGAGAGAGAGAGAGAGATGTTGTGTTGTCATACATATCAGTGTTGCCAGAAACCATGTTAAACAAGATGCAAACTGCCGGTTCCTAAATTTAAAAGGTCACTGTTTGCGGCTGTGGAGTTAATTATACAGCAGGGACCCAGATGGACAGAATAATCTGTGGTGACTCATTTATTTATCAAACATATACAGGGTGAATCACAAGAAAACCCCGCTGAGGGGGGCAGTGGGGGTTAAAGTACTTACCCCCTGCTAACTGGAAGGCAGAGCTCAAAGTGTCAAGGGAGCAAACAAAGAGGAAGAGCAGGACGAAGAGGAGTGGGAGTTTGGACAGATTCACGAAAAAGTGCCTCAAATTGTCCAAAGTCGACGCCGCGGTCGTCTGAGGACGTCGCTCTGTTAGGAATTAGCAGACAAAGAGGACGGTCAGTGTCCTTCATCTGGAGAACCAGGCTGATCTACAAACAATTGGCCGCAACATGAGACGCTTCTGAGTTTTTGTGGGTTTTTTTTTTTTTTGTTTTGTGGATGAGGTAAAGCCTCATGTGGAGAACAAAGCTATGAAACACACTTGACTGCCCATGTGCAGCCAACAACTGTTGGCACCAACGGCGTTCTTTTATAGCCCGGAGTGTGTGATCCCACTGGTTGTGTGTCTCTCTGCTGTGTTCCCGTCTAATAAGCACCGTGTTCTGTTGCTGTGTTTTCCCTTGTAAAAGAGACGAGAGATGCTAATTTCCCAGGAGGTGATCCTATGACTCTCCACCGTACACATGCTGCTCTTGTTACCTTGCTCTGCGTTGAGTGTCACAGCGCCCCCGGGGGAAGGTGGGCTTGAGCCACGATTGGTATGTCGGTGGTGGCGCTTCAAACTACCACTGAGGTCAGGAGTGGAGCTGATGCCAGAGTGCGGGTCCTCCTCCAGAGGAGGTTTGTGCTGTGAGAGGTGCTGAGAGCAGTGCAATCTCATGTCTGAGAGCACAGCTGAGCACGCACTTAACCGCGGTGCATCACCTTGGACAATTTCCAGAAACATGGCAAAATAAGAGAAAAATAACAACCCCTATTTCAGAGCAGTTGGTTAAAATGCCTTAAAAGCTCAAATTTTCTTGAACTTCTTTTTTTGCCAAGAGACAGCATTTTAGAGCGTTTGAAAAACAAAATTGGAAAATTGATTCATGCAACGCATTTAAAAATAGAGACAGAGGTAGAGTGAGAAAAATCCTGAAAAGTCATTGAAGTAACATTAAGGCAGCAAGGTTTCAAAGGTGGGGGGCGGGGAGAGTATGGGGGACGGGATTTCTTTTTAATTTATTTGTTAATGCATTTGTGTTTGACAACCAGAATTAGTTTTTGCCAAGAAAAATATTCCCTTTTTCTTTGTCTTTTTGCCCAAAAAAATTAATTCAGCTTTTTAAGCATTTCTGCAAAATGGGCCAACTTTTCTAAAAATTAATGTTTGTGCTGAAAGTGGAGTTGGAGACCTTACCGTTGAAGAGGATCCCCGGGCTGCCTCCAGAGGTCACTATAGTCATGGACATGGTGTTTTAATGCTGTTTGGAGACAGAGATAATTAGAGGCAGCAGGAGCCGGTGTGAGGTGGCTGTGTTTATCAGGCACCTGCAGCAGTAAAAAGGAAACCAAGTGAGATCATCAGGTGTGTATATGAGGCGATCAGTCAACACAGCAATAATAAGATCAACACACAAGCAATGAAGGGAATCGAAATGTCCCGAGCTGCTGATAATGAGCTGCTGTCCTTAATGTGGGGTCAGGTGTGGCATCATCACAGTAAACTGTGGAAACACTGACATCAGTGCAGCGCCCCCTTTAGACTGGACTGATGTCAAACACCGCCTCAGCCACATATTCAGTTTCTCAAATTAAGTGTATTTTTGTTCAAAGTTTTTCAGGAATTTTAAATCCTTTTTTTGTTTCGTTTTAAAAATGTACATAAAACTGGTATTCTATTTAAATAAAGGAATTAAATCAAGTGTGTCAAACATACGGCCCACAGGCCAAAACTGGCCCACTTGGGGTATCAATCCGACCCCGTTGATAAAAAAAAGTACACAAATACTTCATGTTTAGGAATGTTTTTTGTAAAATTATATTTCATTAAATATGAAGATTTATCTAATGTACTTTTTTGAATGAGAACAAAGGAGAAGAAGACAGACATTTTGTTATTTATAGGTAATTATGATTGCACTGCTCCGGCCCACTTCACACCCCTAAAATAAATGAAATGTTAGTTATTTTGTTGTGGCACATCATTTTGTGCTACCTACAAGGACGTGCCCCACATTTTGGGAACCCATACATAAAAGGACAAGCTGCTTTTTACAGAGGTTCTGACAGTCATGACTGACAAAGACAGCCCCAGATTCTCCCCCCATCTCAGCCTCCTGTTCCGGGTGTGTGTGTGGGGGGGGGTCTCTTCAAAGCCAGGGAGGGTGGAAGTGAGGTCATTAATTACAGAGGGGTAAAATCCCAGTTGTTAGAGTGAGGGCATCATCATTCCTTTTGTGTGTAGCATCCTCCCTGCAGGTCCCTGTACACGTATGCGTGTGTGAGCCTCCTCCTACAGAGTGCAGCTGAATAAACTCTGAACAGGTTTAGTGTTTCAGTAATGTAATCCTCTGTAATCCACCTGCTCTGATTCTCTCGTTTCATATTTTACTAATTTTAAATCAGCCATTCCCAAATGACGACTCCTGTGAAGTTTTCTTTTCTTCTTCTTCTTTTTTTTCTGTCACCAAATTGAGTTTGACGTGAAGTTTTGAAGTGAAAGTATGTGTGGAACATCCGACGGCTGCTGTCAGTGAGAGATAAATGTTCCTCAACTCTGCACTACGAGCAGTGGTTCCCAGCGGGTGTTGATAAGAGAGCAGAATTTGACTGAATTTTGTATAAATAATTTATTTTCAGTCATAACAGACAGACGTCACTCTCTCTGACGTCGATGGTGTTTAACTCTAACTGGGACGACAAGGTGAAAGTCTGCAACTGAAAAACAGGGTTTTTTTTGCCTTTGTAAGATGGATGTGAGACGAGACCGGAATATTCCTGCTTTTATTTTAATCAGTTTTTACCCCAGCATCTGAAATCGAGAGAAAACTTTGAAAACTATCATACATCACATCAGACAAAGTGTTTTCTAAGGTGACCAGCACAGGCTTACTGAGGAGAAATAAAGTAGTGTGGTTAAAAATAAATAAAAAATAGTAATGACAAATGGAATTTTTCTTTTTTCAAAAAAGTGCTACTCTATTCTATAATTTAAAAAAATATTTATATCATTCTGACTTAAACACTGAATGAAAAATATCTGAATATAATATTAGAACTATTGTAGTTTCATAGGTTCCTTAGATTTTTCTTACCTTTACCTCTCCATCACGGACAAGCCAGTCTGCTGAGGTGTTTATCAATTATTGGGGGAAAAAAAGCATAAATTCAGAAGCTCATGTGTCTCGTATTCATCTTCTGATGTCGAAAAAATAACACCAAGTGAGTGAAAGATAACCGTTAAGTCAGGATTACACTTCAAGGTCAACTTTTGTCTAAAAAAATCTAAATGTAATCTAATAATTAATCTTAAATATAATGTTTATTTACTTATTTATTTATTTACTTTTACATAGTTCTGGTCCAACAATATATATTAATTATGTTTGTTCTGGTTTTTTTGGGGGTTTTTTTGTTTAGTTTTTTTTTTTTTTTCCAATCCCATAATGCCCTGTTTTGTATTACACCAGCTGTGGAACCTTAAATAATTGGCTTCGTTGCTACAGCCGTAACATGGGAACAGACACAGAAACTACATTTCCAGCTGAAAATGTCGTTTATATTCAGACGGTGTCGTGTTGTCTTACCTTGTGTGACGTGAGGTGTTTAAACCCCGTGAAGAAAGAACTTGACCAGGCTATAAAACAGCTTTAAATACGCCTGGTGGTCTGGAGGTGTCAGGTGAGGAACACCTCCAGACCATGTTGATGAACCTGCTTCACCCACAGACCACCTGACGGTTAATGGACAACCGTATTAACAGACCGTGTTGTGTACTCGGTGATAAATGATGTTTTTTACAAAAGGCCGCTTTCACTCGATGTGGAACCAGATGAAGACCTCAGGTCTAAGATTAATGAAGCCTGACTGTGTGAGGCGATTGTTATTGAACGCGTCGGCGAGAAAACCGTGACACCTAGTGGGGAAACCTGAGAAAAGCGCTTCTACAGCCCTTTCATAGTGAATTGAAACTATTGAAACTTCTTCTCATCTCTCTCTCTCTGACCAGGCGTGAATTAGGCTTCTACAAGACAAGTCAGCAGCTGGAATTCAGACACATACTGTGTGGTCTGTACTACATGGGCTGGATGATTAGGCAGAGGTTGCAGATTTGAAGTGAGCACAGAGGGAGCTGGGGAGATTTTCTCACATCCTTCTGAAAAAGGCTTCAGATGTGGTCTGGCAACATCCCATTCTTCATAAATGATTGCTTCTTGATCATGAGGGAGTGCCGTGATGACTTGTGCAACACAATAATGGTTAATATTAGACCAGTGCCCGTTCTGCCCTATCAGCAGTGCTCTCTCTGCCTAAACCTGCTGACTCCAGAGTTACCTTCATAAAGTCAGAGGAGCAGAACTTAATAACTCCCCAGACTGAGCGGTTACTTCCCAAACTGTTGTGAGAGTTGGGAGCCAGAGAGAGAGATAACGGCCTTGTTGTTGTGAAGGCAGCTGGACCTCAGCCAGAGCTGCTGCTGCTGCTGCTGCTGCTGCTGCTGTTAACAGCATCAGCATAAGGTAAAACGATTGATGAGGCCTCGAGGAGATGGGAAGAAATTGAAGCCTGCAAACAAATGTAATAACTGACTTATGGGAAAATATTCAAATGAACCCCCGTCTTAAGTGATGCGTGAACAGCGATGATTGATTTGGGAAATCAATCAGATAAAAAATAATACCACAAACGAAGTCCATCCTCTTATTAATGGTCTAATATGCGGCCAGTGCACGTGTTGTTTGAACACACTGCAGGGAAGCGTTTCCGTTTCACCGAAGCTTAAAATACAACAGATACACCCGACATTTGGCTGTCAAATGGATTGTGAGAAACTGTAGACTGTTTAATATTGTTGAGTACAATGGTTTCTATTGACGCACAGAAAAAACTAAAATCCACAAACTATGTAGTCCAATTTTGAGTTTGACTTTTGCAAAAATTGTCTTTAAACTTTCCCGTATTTTATTTACATCATTCCCAATTGTCACAAAAAACAAACAAACGTGAAACACAAACAAATCTCTGCTGTTATTTGACTTTCTGTCCCAACAATATTCAGAAAAGGTTTGTCATATTTAGGAACGCAAATTACCTTGATTAATCGTGATTAATCGTGAATAATTGCGTTGATGATTAATCACGACTACTCAGCAGCTACCTTGCATTAAATTGATTATTTCCATTGTAGTTACAGAGACTGACAACACAATTTTTATTTTTTATTTTATCATGGATTCCATTTAGACCAAGACTGTTTTTTTTTTCCACTAATGCTCTCAGGAACAGATGATGACACTGACAGAACAATTAGACGTCATCACGATGGCGGTCCTCATGTATTTTTGATCACCGACTATGTGGTTTTTAACGTAGTTCACCGTGTGTAGACATATTTACATCTTTATGAATCGTGTTGAATTCTTTTCTGCCGTAATGTCTTATCGGTCGGTTCATCACTTCACTTCTTCAGTGGAGGAGGAAGTTGAGTCTGAGCCATCGGGACACTCCTGCAACACCCAGGAATTACTGTGCAAATACTTCAATGCATAAAAAGTACAAATCCGCAGCCGACTGCAGTTAGAAGAAGTGGATTGTTTACCTTCACTCTGCTCAGCTCTGGTCTGCCCGGGAGTGACTTTTGTGCAGCAATAGCCTGAGAAACAATGGCGCTCAGTCAGATCAGATGAAGTCAGTGACCGAGGAAGATAAATGTGTTAGATCTGTCGTTCACCTTCTTGGACTGTTGCATCTCCTCGGTTGATTTGGACCTGTTCTTCATGTGTTTCTGGGGGGAGGTGTTGCTGGGACACTGCAGAGAGATGAGGTCATGTATCAGAGAAAACCAAAGACACTGGTTTGACCTGGTTTGTGTGTCGGGCTTTTCACTCACCTCACTTGCCTTCTGTTCCATGGCTGAACTTGTTTCACTTGGGCAGACGATCAGTGTAGACACTGGACACTGGCTAGAAAAACATTAAACATTTGGATTACCTAACATGTCAAAAACAAAGTTTAACGACACAAAGCTGGAGAAGATGTACGGAGCCCCTGAAGGGACACGGGAAAATAAATAAATACATTTTCTGGTGCTAATTTGTTTTTTCACATGCTCACCTGAAGAAGTTTCAGGTGTTTGCTACAGTTGTTTGGCTACTTTGAACGCACCATGGTGTGTTCTGTTTCATTGTTTCAAAGCCAGACGTGACCAACAACGGTTACTATTGAAGTAGTCAAGCAAAAACCACCACCTGACCTTCAAGGCCACCGTACTTTAGGAGCTACGCACAAACGTCATGATAACCAATATACAATCATTTAAAAGCTTTTTCCCAAATAAATTGTCATTATACCAATACCAGCCGTTGGACTGTGTAGTTATAGCCTCTTTTCACTAGATGGCGACAGCGGCTCATACTCATGTAGTAGGACGAGGCTGCTGCTTTTTGTGAGAAAGTCATCGTTAAACCTGCTTTCAGTTGAAACCAGCGTAGAGTACGTGTTGTTTTAGTTGTAATTTGGTATATAGATTCTATCACCACACCTGAAAAGTTGTATTTTATTAATGTTTAAACATTCGAATATTTTCCCCATTTTTCATGGTGATAGGCTTGCAACTCATATTATCCTATTAGAAAATAGAAAGGCAAAAATATCAATACATTTTAAATAATAACAGGTCAAACGTTAACGTTTACACATTATATAACCAGGACTGCTGCAAAGTTGTTTTGTTTTGGTTTTTTTTTTGTTGTTGTTGTTGTTGTTCTGCTCCTTTGACATACTCCCAAAGCTATGTGTGCTAATTTTCTCCCTTTCCCTTTTCTAGTTACATTTGCAACTTCGGACATCAATACTAACTCAACTAGTTGCTGCAAGTTTTACAACTTTTGGTTGTTCCTTTTCCAGGTCAGCAATGTTTTGCTTTTTTGTTTTTGGACTTTAACCTTAAATTTTGACCTCAACACACCAAGTGAAGTAAGGCCAAATTCCCAGCTTTCTTGAATGTATGTTTGTTTTGTGATTACTTATACTTAAAAAACAATCTTTAGATTTAAATAAAGAAAAAAAAAATCAACTTTTTACAATACTTTGTCTATTATCCAATGCTTACGTTGCTCGCCCCACACACACACCACAGGTAACATTCAGCCCAGAGCTCATCAACAATGAATAAGGACCAATCCACAGGAGCTCACACGTCTCCTGTGGAGGCTGACGTCAGTGGTTATGAAAGCACCACCAGTGAACGCTGCACAGTTTCCCAGTTGGGCTGGAATAGATGTAGCGCTAATGTTTAACAAGGCTTCACCTTCTTGGCAGCATTCAACCGACAGCCCCAGCAGACTACCTAAGTGCTGTCGTTTTATTCCAGCTGGCACACCCAGGGCTGCTGCACTCTCTGCCGCTACATTAAAATGTGCATCGCTGCCCTTTAAGGAGCACAAGAGGATAATGGGAGATAGCTTAAGGGCAGGAAAAACATTTACCCAGCCTCCCAATGATTTCTATAACTGGTCGGTGACGGAAATGACCAATTAGAGAAGGATGTGCTCACATGGCTCACCCCACCCTCCCTCATTTTCTGTGTCACTGTCTGTCTGTGGTAAACAGGGATTGAATTAGCAACAACATCTTGACTGGTGCTGGAGGAAATAAACGGTGACATAATTGCAGAATAGACAGTTGTCTCGAGCAGCAGCTGGAATTTCATGAATGATTAAATATTGCTGGTAAATCTTAACTTCTTCTTCCTCCATCAAATTTAGCTGCACCACTATCCACATTTAAAAACAACAGTTGGGTGAAAAAAAAAAGGCTGTAAAATACAGTAAAACACAGACGTAAACTGCACTAAAAGAACTAAAATAATTTTAAAAAATTAAAAAGAAAAAGACAAGTATGTACTTGAAACTACGCCCATTGATATCGAGTTAAAGACAATAGAAGACAATCTGACATCTTAACTGTGTTATTTAAGGTTAAATTCAAAGTAAAACTTAAGCTCTGTTCGTGTTAAAATTATAACCAAACAAAGGTGAAAAAAAGTCCAGTGTCGGTGATTTATGAATGACTGGAATCTTGATATATCCAAATCAAAATGTTTAAATGTCTGAATTTCAAGCAGAAGTCAGGAGAAAACATACAGTATCAGTACGTGGGTATGGGTGGGCTCTGTGGTGGTTTGGGGCTGCGTATTAGCCACTGGGTTTTTGAATGTGAAGAAATTGCTTCAATATATGGCAACTCTATAAAGGCTCACCAGGATAGGGCTTTGAAAATGTTTGTAAAAATAGGTTGTTTTCTGGGCATGGCTCTGTGTGCTTGCTTCCTAATGCAGTCCTGAAAAATGAAGACTATTTCCAAATGTAGATTAGAAATAAATAGCTCAGTCCCAAAGGTCTGGCCACCCATTAAATCACTCCTGGTAGGAGATCAGATAATTAATTCATTTCTATCTGCAGAAGCTGTGATTATGACCAAAAAAAAAAAAAAATCTCCCTGAGGCCGAAGGCTGAGCGCTGCAGCCTGGAAACACTGTCTCCTTGCAAAGTTGATTACTATAATTTCAGAAAAAGGTGAACTGTGCATAGGTTGACGAACATGGTACAGCGCAGGAGCCGACGCACTCAGCATGCATGCAATTAGCGGGGCTGTGATGGTGCACAGAAGTGGTCAGATCACCGAGGTGAACATGTGGGCAGGAGGTGCACGGGCAGCTGATCAGAGCGCACATTGAGACGGATCACACTCACAGTGGTTAGGACATAATGTCCTGTAATTGATGGTGATGGTCTGCTACACTCAGGTGTGACTGACACACACACACAGTTACTCACTCCATGCTGTATGATTCAGTCTGGAGTCGACTGACAGATGCTCAGAGCTCAGGCATGTTTAATTCATCCTATAACTGAGTCAGTGCTAATAAACAGAAAATGAATCAATCTTCAAAGAGGAGCGTTTAGTCCACGAGCGGTGGATTGATTTTTCTTCAATATTTTGCACTTGTTATTTTTTAAATTTGCTGCCTTCTCAATCATCATGATAAAAAAAACCATTGACATCTCAATCACTTTTAATGTCCGAATAACAATAGCTGTTGAAACAGGGAAAAAAAATTAAAAAATCAACTTGGTAAACACGAGACAGGCAGGAGGAGAGGATGAATAATGGGAGTGACACAGGGAGAGAGGAGACGCATCTAGACTCACAACAACTCAGCAGCAGCATAAACACAATGACAGGCTTTGGAGAAATTCAGACTCACCTCCTTTTCTCCCCTCGTCCTGCTCTTTTCTTCCCTCAGTGAAGCAGACGTGCAGTGGAGTAGACGCCGCTCCTCATCTCACTGCTGGTGTGGTGCCTGAGAGAGAGGGGAGAGAGAGAGAGAGAGACACACACACAGACACACACACACAGCTCATTGATAGCTCCACCAACACACCACTCATCCATGGAGACACACATAAATACATATAACAGCAGGTGGTTATTCATGCTAATGTATGCAGGCTGGCACAGCAGGAGGTGAGAGTGACAAGGTGGCGTTATACTGTATGCTGCACATTAACACTGACAAAAGGAGGTCATCTACTCTACTTCACTGACAAATACTGCACATAAAACATTTTACTCTGATCCACAGATGCTGCTGAATCACCCTTGTGTGGGGAGAAAAAAAAAAAAATACCCACACAGTGACTAAAACACACTTTGTAAGACTCGCAAACACCATCCAGCAACAGGTCAGTGGACAGCTGGAGCATGTCATTGGTTACAACCAGGTCACTCACAGCCAATGGCGTGGCAGAGATAATCCACCCCACCCTCCATCACTCCTGTCACGGTGTAATAGTGACGTCGCTGGTGGCAGCTTTTTTTTTTTTTTGAGAGAATGCGCGTTATGACTCACACAGACAGATGAGTGGATCAAAGGGCTCGGAATTCACATCTTATGAAACCAAATCCCAAACCACTGATCAGGCGGGAATCTTCACCCCGAGCTCCAAACACGGTGTGACATTTGTTAGCACAGCGAACACAGAAGATCGAGTCTCATCATGAACCTTTTAATACGTCGTTGTTTGAACCAGGTGATATTTCTTTGGGTCATCACAACACCTTAACCTAGTGAATCTTGTAAACCCGGTGATATTACCACAACCGCACACGTGACAGGAAGCCAGGATTATGTGAAACAGCATCACAGCAAAATTAAATCTCAAAAAGATCTCAAAGATTCTCAATATCACACGCGTTGCAAATATTTCAGAAGGAAACACAAACAGAATGAAAGCATAAGTTAACATTTTCTCTTTTTAAAAAAGCCATAAAAGTAACACATTTAAGAGATAAACAAAACATTTGTGCAAAACACTTCATAACCACCCCTGGACAGTCACTTTTTTTTTCCTATGCTTAAATATTTTAGAGTTTAAAAGAAACACAAAGGCTGCTCTTTACACTGTATAACATTAAATATCACTGAAAAGCTACTTTAGAACAAAAGGGTTTTAGATTAAAAAAAAACAACATATATATAAGAGATAGAAGAACCGATGGCAAACATGAAGGTAGTGTTTTCAGAAGACACTAGATGCTTGCCGGCTCTTTTCTTTAAACTCCAGTTGTGTGTCGGAGGTGAAGCACACTGCCGTCTCACAGCTTTATTCCATTTAGTTCTGTTTTCTTTCTTTTTTTAAAAAAAGTGCTTGGTTAGTTTTTTGTAAAATACTTTTTTTCTTTTCACATGACTGGCAACACGGAGCCAAATATTCACAGATCTTTGTCCAACACCGAGCGACCGTTGTCTTTCATACCGTCGTTTCTTTTACGTCTTTATGTCCCGATTTGGCTGAATCAGATATCACAGCAGCTGGATCTGAAGACTGATGATCCAGTGTCTGGTCCTCTGACTTCTCTGTGGATTTTGAGCAGTTGATGCTGGGCTCGGCCTCGGTGGATTCCGATGCCCCCGTGTCCTGCCCCTGGTCTGATGGCAGCTGCAGGAACAGAGGTATCTCCAGCTGCTCTTTGGTCAAAAGGCCGCGCTGGTCGTCCACCCTGAGGCACTGCGCTCTGCTTAGCATGTCCATGAGCCCTGAAGTGGACGACACAGATTTTAAAACAACCTCCTGCTGCTAAGACTACACCAGCAAACTAATAACAGTAAAACGTTCAGGAAATATCGTCTTCAGACTGCTGCCCTGCCTACGGTGCATTTTAGGGCTGGGTGATATGGACACAGGCTGACAGGGGAGGCTTCGACAAATACACGAGTTTCAACACTTTGGTTGTGTCACAGTAGAGAATGCAACTATTTCGAATTTTATTGTCGTCGTTTTATGAGAAAACTCATTTTTGTCTGAATTACAGTGTGTTTGATTCACTGGCGATAATGGGTGAATATGTGTGTGTGTGTGTGTGTGGGGGGGGCTCAATAATAATGGGTAAAACTGTCATTAGCAAATTTATGATGAAAGTGCTACGTCACTTGTTGTATGACGACCACCTCATCAAGGTCAAACCAAAAGTCGATCAAGTTGACCTGAGTTAACCTTGACTGACCTTTGGTCCGACCTTTCATCATCTCACAGCCTATAATCACCAGATCACCCAAACCTCCTAGTTACTGCTCACGTGTCCTACCATCCATGTCGGGGTTCTTACTGGGCTTGGGCTGAGTCTTGGCTCTGTCCACCGACGCCTGGGCCTCCGCACCTCCTCCACTCACTGCTGCTGCTGCTGCTGCTGCCTGTTTATTACACAGAATCCAGCAGATCAATGCATGACAAAGCTTTTTGAAGCATGACTTTTTTTTTTAATCCTAGTGATGGCATTAAATACTGTCCAACACAAACACACAGAGATTAAACCCTTTAATCCCAGGTGTATTTTCTCTACACCCTGGTTTTAAAAAGCTATGAAGAAATTTCATTTAATAGAAATCATAATATCATACTAATGTAGTATTAGTCCTTTTAAATGGGTCACTGAAAAAGTATAGATGTGGTCATTTGTTAGGATGACGCCACATTCCTGCCCCGTCTTTCATTCTTTTGCATGTTGACATTTTGGATGGAAAAGATTAGTATCCTGTGTATTTACACAGAGAATGAGAACAAAATGCTGTGATCTGCATGATATACAACAACCCAGTAGGTGGCAGTGACAAATTGAAAACAGATGCTAAAAAAAAAAATTACAATTTTTCCAACTTTTATTTCAAGTCAGTCAGTTGACATCGTCCCACCTGTGTGGTCTTAGCAGAACCACTGCCTCGGGGAATAAGGTTCTGGTCTCTTCCTGTTCAAAACACACAAATACGTTTTTTTAGTGCTGCAAAGTCAGGATGACGTTAAAGAAATGTTCTTGTAACAAACACTGTTTGCTAAGATTCTTAATTGCTAAGAAAAATACACTGGTATTCCTTGTAGGGAGACACTAACAATGACCTATTTTCACCAGCGTGGAGTTCTGATCCAAAGTGAAGTTAATCCTGGTGCAGTAACAGTGGAGAACGTAGGTGAGAGAAGATTCAACAAAGCAAATGGACTTTGACATTTCAACCCACAGAAAAGAATGAAGACCAGCAAGAGAGAGAGAGAGAGAGAGAGAGAGAGACAGAGAGCCAGAGTGAGAGACAAACTTAAGGAACTGAAATAGGAACAAGAAGACATTAACAGAGAAAGACAAGAGCAGTGGAGTGGACAGTGAAATGACTGTCTTCAACACAGTATTAAAGACATCGCTGTTTCTCAAAGTGTGGTCCCACATCGAGCTCAAACACAACTGACCACAAAAGAAATAATGAAAACTACTGTCATTAATACTCAGGTTTAAGGAGGAAAAAAAAAAAGCTGGTGTTTCACCTGTGGCCTTGTCAAGTCGCAGCGTCTTATTGGCCAGTTTGAACACAGTGTTACTCATGTTAATAGGTACATCACTTCCAACCTAAAAAAGAAATTCTTTAGATTAATAGATTCAGTAACAAGTCAGATGTAAAATAATTGACTTATTGTGATTTTCTTTTACTTAATGTAAATTATTTATTTAAAAAATAAAAAACACTGTAGAAAACCAGCATTTAATCAATTTGATAAGAAAAAAATTTAAACTTGATTGAGTGAAGTACAGACAGTGTTTGTATTCACCACAGAAAATACAACAGTGTCACATTTTCAGTTCATGTTTTCTCAGCATGAACACAGCTCCCGTGTAAGAGGACAACATTCTGGATGTACAGTAACAACCAGGGTGGTGCTTGTGAAATACAGATCCCTGATTGGTCAGAACAGAGAGGACAAGAAGACTTCTCTAAGTGATTGACGACCGACTTGACAGCGCTGTAGCTCGACACGTTTAATTTTTTTAATGTTCCAAGAGCCGTCTCATCCTCGCGGCAATGATGAACAGGAAAGTGTCAAGAACTGAAACGCAACAACAAGAAGACATTGTTGCACAGAGGAGGTTCAGTCTGGACGTCACAGAGTAAACCAGTACATGTACAAATAGGGTTAAGACCAGATAATGGTTAAAGGAAGAGAGGAAAGTGTCTTTGCGGTCAGGTCAACCTGTGATGATCAAGTCAGAGAGAGGAAGCTTCCTGTCTGATGTGTTCATTGACACAGAATTTCAGTTAGTTGAGTAACGTGTAACCCCAGGGCTGCATTAGTCATGTGGTTAAAAACCTCTCAAACCGTCAGTCAATGACTTTGATTTGACAGAATGTTGTGCATCTTAAGCCGTTTCACACTCACCATGGTGACCACGGCCTCTTGTGGCTTCAGATGATGCTTCTGCATCACCAGCGAGAGGGCGTCCTGCAGCGTCTTACTGGACTTCACCATGATCCCCAGTGTCTTACCCGTAAAAGCAATCTCCAGCCTGTCGCACATCGACAACAGGGTAGAAAATCATTAGCTTCAAGTCATACGAATCATTCGCTCAGTCACCGTCTGAGCAGAAAAGAGTTCAATTCTGTGAGTCACAGACAACGACTGAAATAAATTCTTATTCTGTTGACACACGATAAAGGACTACCCTCTTGCATGATGGTGAGAAAGGACATGTTGCTGGGGGGGGGTGAAAACATGTGCTCTGGTGTTTTAAATAAAATGAAGAAAAGCACTCACGCAAACATCACCCTGAGCTCCAGGGAGACCTGCTGGTCCCTCAGCACTGAGCAGTCCTGGTCCAGAGATAAGGGCTGTGGTGGAGAAAGAAAAGAGAAAGTGGGTGAGTGGTAAAAATATCTTTCTTTTTTTTTTGTTTAATAAAATGTCAAATCTAAGATGACACACAGAGAGGATGTTGGAAGGGGAAGTCCAAATGTACTGCTTGTACAACAGATATTTTTAAACACTTCCTGTTCAGCCCTCACCTTGTCCTTTCCGTGAAGATAAATGATGACATCCTTGAGAGGGAAGCCTCTCTTCTCACACAGACTTGACAGCATCTCTTTGATGGGTTGGCCGCTGCGGGTGGGGGCCAGGGAGGCACTGCCATCAGGTAGGTAAACGCAGCAGTAGCCTCGCTCCACCTCTGCCCGACTGCTCCCTCCTTTAGCCTGGACTGAAGACTGGAGACTTGCCTTTCCATTCTTAAATACAGGAGGGGAATAGAACTTCACTTCATCAAAAAAAAAAAAAAAAAAAAAAGTTTTTATTTCCTGCCTCACACTGTTTCCAAAAGTGAGGGGCACCTCCACTCAAAGGTACACAGATCACAGAATAGCAGTTTTGTACAAAGCAGTGACATAAATAAAATAAAATCAATATTTCAGCAATAGCTGTGAAAATTCCCAGCAACTTAAAAATATCCCTCTCTTCAAAACCTGGGAGTTGCAGAAGTTGTTTGTGACAAACTGAGGTAGAGTTAATAATACACACAGAACATTATCATGTCACACAATGCATCCAGGCTGAGCAGAAACACCGTCCTCTGGGTTGAGAGCTCCAGATCATTGTGTATCACATTTGGGATAATGTATTTTATTGTCTACTGTATGTTATCCCTGTATTTCCAACATGTCTGAAAGAGTCTATCACTGTATTTCCAACATGTCTGAAAGAGTCAGACAATTATATTCCACTGTGTGTTATTCCTGTGCCTGACCAGTAGGAGGCAGAGTGGCAGTTCACTTCAGCTCCAGCTCAGTCTTAGTCTCAGCAATTACTTTACCAAAATGGTGCATATATTCATTCTGCCATGTGAGGTTGCTGGTGGTGTCTGTAATTCAGAAACACTGACCTCTGTTTGTCTGTAGAGGGAGCCAAGCTCCACGCTGCTGGTTGATTTAATTGACATATGGGTGTCATTTGGAGAGAGAGAGTCCTGGCTCATGAACGCATCTGTTAAAGTTCATAAAAAAAAAGAACAAAGAGTCAGCGACTGGGCTGAAGAGACATGAGGTAAACCAAGGTTCAAAACAGGAAGTACCTCCCCAGGATCCTCTTTTTTTGCTACTGGTAGAGTCTGGTCTTTTGTCCTGTTGAGACAGTGATAAAGAAAAAAAAAACAAGTCTCAGCATGATAAACTATGCATGACCTCACTGTCCCTTGGTTCACTTTCTCTACATCTATCGACCTTTGGGCCACCGAGCAATGGGCTTCTGACAGCTACGTCTTCCCATGATCCCAAGCGTGTCGACTCATTAGAGAGCTCTGGCAGGACTTTTCCTTCCACACTGGCCAACGTGCACTTCTGGTAAAGAGGTGAGCGCACAAATCGCCTGTAGCTGTCCATCTTCATCAGCTTGAATATCTGATGGAGAGCAGAGACGGTGGAACCTGACGTCAGCCGTCAGAGTGCAGCATTGTTTTATATGAAGACTCAACACAGACCTGAGACTGAGCCTTGTTGAACATGTCAGACGTCGGCTGCTCCAAGTCCTTCTCCTCTATCTTGGCCGTGTCATCAATGTTGACGCAGTAGGGGGCGCTGTCAGACAGGTAGGTGTTGTAGATGGAGCGAGCCACTCTTTTCAGCTGAGAAAAGGTGTACCACATTTGAGAATCCTGAAATACTGAAGGGACGGTCCACAAGAAAGATCTTTGAAAGTGTTATCTGACAATTCAAGTGCAGAGAAGTTCTGCCAGAAGCAGCGCCAGACCACAAACAGATCAAAGGTCAGAGGTCACTTGGAAAGCAAAATCTCTTCCTCCCAGAGTTATCACTGAAATTATAGGCTCATTTTAATATTGTTGCTAATAAACCACACACTTAAAAGTGTAGTATGACAGCGGAGTCACCAGCTAAATTTGTCAGAGGGAATTTTTCTGGACAGACAGCGTAGGGGCAGGACACAAAAAATTAAATAAAAATCTAAATTTTTTTTTAGGTTAATTTTGCAGTTTATGATCAGTGGTTAGTATATCACAGCATGCATTTCCTCACAGGGATATATGTCCGTGTTTATTCATGAATGTCTTTAATATTTTTTGTTAAAGTGAAATATAGCATCAGGCCAACTGTTACAACATGACAAAAGAAAGACAATCATGCAGTCCAAAAAACCCTAAAAACAAAGAGAAAATGTTTTCATCCTACCTCATCCACAGAGGTGGCCAATATCTTCTTGAACTTTTCACACGCCTGATAGAACAAGATGTTCTCTGCACTCACTTCAGACATGAGGAAAGACTGTGGACAGACAGATGTAGTCACTAAAACTGCACATTTGCATAAAAAAAGGCCTCGGTAATCAAGTGAGAGGACGGTGAGCGCCATTCACCGTAAAGTATCGGACCCCGCTGGGGTCCTCCAACAGCTTCTCGAAGGACACAGCCCAGCTGAGCACGCTGTTGGCCGGGCTGACCTCTCCACCCGGAGTCCCTGGAAGACTGGAGCTGCTGCTTCCACATCCCCGCGCAGACATGTTCAGTTCTTCAACACATTCAGACACAAACACACCCAGTTATCAGCAGAAAGGAGCATAACTGAGAAGCCGACCCAATCAGATGTTTTCTTCTGTCATGCACAGACACGTTGGGTGTGTGGTGTCTTTTTAGACTTACCTCCATCTGATACAGCCTGGCTCTGTGAAGACACAAGCAGAGAGAGAAGCGATCAATAGATAAGTAGACTCAGACAACAGGCACTAAAACCTGTCTAACGGTGGACGAGCGGCGGAGTCTGTGATACTCGATGTTCACTGTAGTAACCAAGAAACCCGACTATAAATCTTCACATCACTTTTCAATGACAACACTGTAGAACCTGTGTGAAAACCTGTGTATGGCAGATCAGACCGAGCTACATATATGGACATGGTGTTTGAAGCACATACATACATGAGGTGAAATGTGAATAACAGCTCCATTTTTTTAACTTTGTTTTTTTCCTCTATATAGTGCAATCAGCCAGGGCAGAGGAAGTGGTTGCGACACTGATGACAACAGTTCTCATTCAGATTTCAGAGCTCGCAAACATTTCAGTTTCATTTTTAATCACTTTTAACAAATAACAACTAAAGCCTGGGTGAGAAGACAGGGATGAAACAGAAACATTCTTATCACTGACAAAAATTAATTTAAATCATTCATTTTGTATTAGGGAGATACATTAAAATATTTGTAGAGAAATTCAAACATGTATACATCATTACAGTTTAATTTTTTAACTCTTAAAATCTGTTTTTGCAGCGCAAATGTTGCATCAAAAATAAGGGCCAAAGACTAATTTTTTTAAGTATTTTAATTCCAGTTATTCTAGAACGTTTCACTCCATGTACCGCAGCTTGATGCATTTAGTACCATCAGTATGACTAACATTATATTATAACAGCAAGAGCCTAGAATGTCCTGCCAAGATCAATGAGTGAGCAGTAATAAGATTAGCTGATTAGCTGAAGACACACACACTCAGAAAAGCAAGTGAGAAGATACAAAACTGTATGAAACACCAAACAGTCACGCAGCCCTGTGGTCCACTAGAGGGAGCCCAAGAACCACAAGAGGTACACATCCCATAATTTAAGAGATCTAATTATTTTAAGTAAAAACGTTTCTTATACATGAATGTTGCCCCAAAGTGATAGCAGTTATAACAGCAGATTGGATTTTTTATTTTATTTTTTAAATCAGAAACTACAACTCGGACGTAACAGACGTGAACACTGAATAAATATTTAGTTTTGATCAGAAAGGCTTTTTCAGTGAAGCTGTTTTGGACTCAAATCAAAGGATGACTCATACGTACATAAAAGAAGAGTTTTCACATAAAACAAGTGTTTTCACATAAAACAAGTGTTTTCATCCAAAGTATTTTTATCCAAAGAGTTGAGGAAAAACTTCTAATCAAATACAAACACCTCATCTGACAGTAGCTCAACCTAAAATGTTGACACAGGATCAAATATGCAAAGTTTTTTTTAGCTTGGTTGGTTAACATGGTGCAATGGCCAAAACCCCAAATCGCTACAAATTCATTCACCCTTCACGGCTTAATCCCTGTCAGAGTCGCAGCTGAAGCTAATCCTAGCATTCGTCAGGCGAGGGTGAAGAGTTCCCCAGTCTGACATGGGCCACATACAGAGGGAACAACCATTCACACTCACCCTACTATCATCACTTTAGAGCGAACAATTAACCTAAGCTACGTGTGTTTTTAGAACTTGGAGGAAACAGTGGTACTCAGATGAAACCCACACACAGGAAGGACGTGCAAACCTCAGACACAAAAGATGAATCAAACCAAAGCAGCAAATTGTTGAGCCTATTGAGATAAGACACCATGTGAACCTTTGGCGTGATTAGCAGAAATAGCAAGAGCACAGAAATGAACACACAACCTGCTGGTCAAATTTTCAGTGTTTCCACCGACCTAAACCAGTCGCACTTGAATTTGCTGAATAGATATAAACCAAACACATCTCTCAGTGTTGACGATGATCTATTGTAACTTACATAAAGCACTACACTCTCAATCACCTCTGTAAAGGGTTGCGACTGATGTGACTCAGCACTACAACAAAAATGAAGTTAAAAGTTGTCCAAAAAAAGCCTGTATTTATTTCCATAATCTTTTATGCAATGATAGCACGTAAAAAAAAAAAAAAAAGTAGCACGCTTGATGGCTTTTTCTGCAGTGTTAACCTTTCTGTGACTCCGCTGCTTCACTTTTTTGCTGAGCTACTTAAAAAAAAAAAATTACACAAACAACACAATATGTTTGCTAATTATATTAGATATTAAACATTAAGATCTTTAAAAAATTACCTTTGGTATTTCCAGACACTTCAGTCGTGTTTTTTTTAATCTGGAATGTCCATTACTGAACAGGGCGTATGAGCAAACACAAAAGTTGAGCAAAGATGCTAACAGTGCACTAAAAATGTTAATTAGGAAGCAGGCTAAATTGTATACACTTTTAATTAGCATACTAAGTAAAACAAAGACCGAAGGTGTATTTAATGTTATTGGACTGGACACAGTTCTTCCTTTACACGAAAGATTTTCTTGGATTGGTCGTATCGAAGACAGATACAACCAACAACGCGGCGAGACCACTCAAATTACGAATAAACAAAGCTCCTTCAAGAAAACTGTACAGTCGTACCGAAACCTGAAGACCGACTTCGTAGCAGTACAGTATTAAAGACAGATAAGGAAAGTAACGTCCGTATAAAACTTCTCTTTTTAACAAGGCAAAAGAACAAAAACAAACGGAAAAGTCTTTGGCCACAACATGATGAATTCTCCACCGTATTTCAAATTACAGTATGTTGCAGAATGATTGTTTCCAAACTCACCAAGTGGCCAACAGGAATCCCCAGAGCGTTCAGGTTCTTTGCCATGACGGCCTTCAGACCAGACTACTGTACAAACTCAGCTCCTCCGTAGAGTGTTCACCGTCAAGGGACACTGTAAAGTGCTCCACCCAAATATGATAGACTCTCCTCATACATACATCAGTCACACACAGAAAAAAAAAAAAGAAAAAAAAAAAAAAACATCACATAGCCTTCCTGTCACTTCCTGCCTGGAAGGGAAGTCTTGCCATAGCAACACACCACAAAAGAGGAAGTATGGTTACTATGATCAAACTGTTTTCTGCCTGTATCTTAAGAAACAGTAAAGTGGGTACACAGGATAGATCAATGTACTCCACGTACTAGTTAAAACAGAGTAAGTGGACGATTCACTTACCGCAGTATTACAGCTTAAACTTAAATGCGTATTTTGATTATTCTGAGTATTATATGTCACTAGTTTTATGCAGTTATTGAATAAAGTTCAGACATTGTTTACCTAGTTCTCCTTTTATATAAATACATTTCACACCTTTTTCTAATTTGGAACAAAACAAACGGCTTGTCATTAATAAACTACTTACTGTATTCATAAACTACATTTTCCTCAATGTGACAGAACTTAATGGTAGTAAATACTACTTTGAGGTCAGTATGGTGTCATTTTTAACAGAAAGTAAATGATAAAAAGGCTGCACGGTGGCATGGTAGTCAGCGATCACTGGTTTAAGCCCCGACTGATGTTCTAGCTGTTGTTAGTATCGTAGATAACCAATGCTGGGTTATCTGGGCACTCTTAGTTGACTAAGTCAAGACTTTTACTCACCCAATGACTCCTGAGATTAATCCCTGCTCCTCATAAGATCTGGGGTCTCAAACCCGTATGAGCTCAGGGCCACAGTTACCACTGTAATTGTACTCAAGGGGTGCCATTAATCAATGTTCAATACAAAAAAATATCTTATATTTCAGTTAATCCTATAACTGTATAATTCAACAGTGCATTGAGTAGAAATAATGAATATACATATAAAACAATAAAAAATACATTTGGAATAATTCTCAAAGGCTAAATTGAATTATTGACATCTAGTTGTGGGCCGGATGTTGGAGGACCACTCCCTGCCCACAGGCCAGGAGTTTGACACACCTGATCATTAGGATTAAGCAACAGAATATTAATCTATGCATTTTCAATAAAACCTGACAGGAGATAGTACATAAAGAGAACTGCAAAGTGACCAGAATGTCATGTGTAAACACCACATGCAGATACCCACAATGTCACACATCTCAACAGTACTTCCAATAGTAATGCTCACTTCTGCTTCACCACTGGCTCAGAGGACAGTGACATAATGTCGTTTTGTAACCAGTGAGTTAACAATTAAAGATGACATGTACAAATAACCTCAAATTTGATTTTTAAAAATTATAATAATTTTACATGGGGATCAGTGCATTGTTGCTGACGAGCCACTTGTGCCTCGGGAGCCGCACATTGACTTACAGCGACAACCAGCTGTACTTCTACATTTCTTTTCTCAAGCTGACAGCCATAATTTACATCCAGGCAGACATTTAATTATTATATGCAGTAAATTATCTAGAAATATGCTGACTTTTAACCCATGCACAACCCATGTGTGTTTGTAGTGGACGTGCTGTCTGGGATGTAAAAGAATACTATTAACCTAACATCATTAGATCTTCTACTTAGTAAACATCATTAGGTCCAAGGTCTGACCTAATGAGAACATGTTTCCTCACTAATTAGCTGATGAGAAACTCTCTCCTCATACCTTCTTATCTGCTGCGGTGCCACTGGTTACGGACCTCCATTTGTCATACTTCCTGTTTTGTTCCAGAGCTATAACCTTTGCCAGGCGACAGACCCTTTGATAAATTCTTCTCAGAGTGACCATTCTGAGAAAAGGAACAACAGAAGCACACTCGGTGTCAGGATAAACGGAGTCAGGAGAACTCCTGCAGTCAACTGAAAGCACTCAGGCCAGAGTTCATTAAGATCTTACCTCACTGCCGTCAGTGCACAGACCAGTGACCCAGGTGAAACAGAACAGTTTAATTACAGGTGTCCAGCTCCTGATTTGTCAGATAGACGTCAAATGCCTTCACCGTTTCTGCCCACACGAGGATGGACGTCAAAGCATTCACTCAGTTTGGCTCCAGACAAATGAAAATGGCAGATTAATGGTCATGTGTCCACCCTCCTGTGAAAACGATGATAATTAGCACGTCCACGTCATGTCGCTAGTTAATCATACAGTTAACATTAAGCCTATAAAATACCTGACTTCGTGTGAGTTTGTATTGATACTGGTAGTTACAGAAAAGTAATATAACACTCACCTGAAAGTATAAACTGTGTTGGAGGTGCTGGCCTTTTTTATTTACTTCGGGAGCGGCGCTTCCGCAAGAAGGTCATCATGTTGGTTTGATACGATCCTCTCTTAATTAAATAAAATACCTTTGGTTCGACCGATAAGTCCGACTCCTCCATCCACGGACGGCTATAATGGCATCAGGGATATTTCGAATTTAGTTTCACCACCTACATTATATGTTGTTAATCCCAAACCGTGTACATACAATTAAGCAAATATTAGGATTATTCTGGGTCAATCTGATGACAAACATAAAGCTGTTTGGAAACACAGGCTGGAATTTAATTAAAAGTTTAATAAAGTTGAAAATTAAGCGTGATTTGCGAATATAAATATAAGCGTGAATCCGACATTTGACACGCAATTTAATAAAAAAATGAAAAAAAGATTCATTGGTTAAGCATAAATAAGGAAATCAAATGGTTAACAGCACATCCTTGTGGCGAATGCAGGAATAAACACTACGTTTTCAGACGTGTCAGTGACAGAACATTAATTAATTTAAGGATAATTAAGGCTAAAAACAGTTTGACTGTGTGGCGTTTATATCATATAACAACGATGGGACCACATTTTGTTTCAGTCTTTCCTGTTTGACAACAAAACGTTACAGTTTCACTGAGCCACATGCTGAAAACTTCGAGCCACTACACTGGTATTGTGTACATGTACAAGAGTGGTGTTGTTCGTCTGTGTGAACATCCAGGAAAATCTTTATTTGCATCCATATCAGTGTTTATAATCAGTTAATCCCATTTTCCCTCCCTGTTAGTCAAAGCAGAGCAGGTCAGCGTTTAGTTCCGTGAAGTAAGACCATCAGCAACGCAGGTAAATTAAGAATACATGCTTTTATGGTTCTGAAGTTTTTATTTTTGGTTGTTTGTTTTTTAAAGTTAAAAATACAACTTTAGATTTTTGCTTTGACCTACTTGTCATACTATAGTCATTTAAAATGCTATACTATACTATACTGTAGTCTGTAGATGGTATACATTATGTGTATTAATTTTATTTATTTATACATTTTCACTACTCACTTCAGCCGGAATCTGGTCAAGACGGGTCATGATGGAGATGTTTTACTTTATTTATTTTATTCTGAGTCATCTTTTCATTGGTGAGGAACCAACATTTTGGCAGTGTGTCAGTTTTAAGAAAACTGCCTGAGCTTTGTTCATTTTCTTCTTATTTAAGCTGACGTTGGCTCTACCTGTGTTTCTGCCCAGTGTCTGAACTGCACCATGACAGAGTTGGCCTTTGGTAACTATAAATAAAAAAGAACTATGAAACATCTTAAAATCTATTATTTTATTATTATTATCTTATGTCATGTATGTTCTTGCTGCAGATTATTGTCAGTGCCGCAATACAATGTGCATTGAAGGTTTGTGGCCTTATTTTTCAACTTATTAATAAAAGTATCACAGTTACTTCATTTACTTCAAGTATATACATATAATGAATGCGATAATAAATAGTAAATTATTATAATGAATATTGTATAACAATAATTTATCAATATAATCATGTCCTGAATTTGTCTCTATTTGTGAGGCACATTCTACTATTATTATAATTCAACATACTGTATATTTTCTATTATTTTCAGAAGCCATATATGAAAATATTTCCTCAAACTGCAAAACAGGTGAATGGGGGTGTGGGGGGAGGGGGGGGGGATGGGGGCAGCACATTTACATCTACAATAAAACGCCTTCTCATTCCCTGGCCTCTCCAGAATTTCAGGTTTCTATTGAGACCACTGGCTCGCAGGTAATGGAGGGTAATGACGTCACGCTAACGTGCGTCCATAACCTTCATAATTTGACTGTAATATTAGGATGGAGGAAGGACGGGATTGAAATAGACCAACAGAAAAATAAGACCCAGCTGCTTCAGGCCGAAACCGGTCAGTACATCTGTTATGTCAACAGCTCCTGTGGCTTTTACAAGTCTTCACCACACGATGTCACTGTAACCAGTAAGTAGACATCTTCATCTGCCGTACTACGGTCGCTTGTGTACTTAAAGAATCAGTCATCTTTATTTTATATATGTTTGTGTCTGTGTTGCCTCATCCAGACACCAGTATTTACCTCGTGGTGATCTGTGGTGTCTTGGCCATGGTCTTGGTTCTGATCATGGCTGTGGCCATGAAGTGCAAGCTGAAGAGAGACAATGGTATGATATCAGCCAAGTCCACTTGACCGCAGTTGACCACAATCTTCATCAGGAGCTTCTTGATGGAATTCAATTCAATCCATTCTAAACATTTTATTTCTCTTCTTAATTAACTGCACATTTTCTGCAATTAATTGTGATTAATTTCCCCCAGTTCTAAAATTAAATATATATGACAAGGACCGGGGCGAGTTGAGTTCAGCACAGGCTGCATTCCATTACAGCTACAGCTACAGGATCAAATCAGTAATTACTCTGGTATTATCTGTGTCTTTCTGCAGCTAGACACAGGCAGTGGATGGAGCGGAGGCTTAATCAAACCACGTCTGTATCGTTCCCTCCAAGTACCTCAGAGTGAGAAACTGTCAGAGAAGGAACCTGATGATGCGCCTACATTTGATGTGTGTAATCTCGCAATAAAAGTGTCTAAATCCCCCTCCGCAGGTGTGACTGTGAGGTGTGTAAGGTTTCAGGGATTTTTTTTTTCCACCTCCATTTGCACGACATCACTGGTGTGTGTGTGTGTGTGTGTGTGGGTGTTATTATTGCCCCACCCACTGACCAAAAGGCCTGTTCAGCTGAGGAGAGAAAGAAGCTGAAAATGATTTAATCCAGACGCGGGGCAGACTTGTTCAAACTAATCCCACTGAATGCTCCGCTTACAGGAGCGCACACGATGTAGAGCAGCTCTGTAGCAGCTGGCATGTCACGGATCTATGGGATGATGAATGCTTCCCAGAGCTCCGTGAGAGGGATGGGCGTGAGGTTTGAAAGTTGACTTATGAAGAGAGAAAACACCAGGTCTCCTGCCTCAGCACGATATAATCCTGTCACCTCTGTGTGAGTAGGACATCGGTTATATCCACATAAGATCTCCTCTGAGTCTCTCTCTCTCTCTCTCTCTCTCTGACTTTTCATTCATTAACACTAATGCAGCAAAAAAAAGCAGAACTACATTCTAGTTTTGCTCTGCTCCAGTGTCAGCGTGGAGCCTTTACTTCAGTTTCCTCCCATAACAGGTGGCACGGGGGATAATCCAGGTAAAGCTACTGCAAAATTGGGATGGACAGAGGGAGAGACGGGAGAGGGAGGGAGGAAGGGAGGGGGGATGGTGTGGCCTTTGTATGGACAGAGCTAATTCTGGCTTCCTAATCCCACTTCCACCCCCCTCCTTGTCTTCCTGCTGGACAACTCAGGTAAAGCTCACAGACACATACACACACTGCACTTAACTCACTGTGGACGAGGCAGGAAGAGAAGGTTCCGGGGGAGAAGGGCTTTTTTGGAAGAAGGGTAACGTGGTCGTGGTGGACGCTGACACACCTGTGGGAGCTTCACTGGAGAATGTAGCTGCTGCAGACGCTCAGTCCACCAACAGGAAACAGGCCAACATGGGAGAAGCTCAAAAGGTAAAAGTCCTGATCCTGGTCTCGTTCCGGTTCTGTACAAACCCAGAGGAGATGATTATTATTTCTGAGACTTAAATCTTCAGTCTTATGAGTTTATTATTCTTTTTAACCCACGATGGGATTCAACACAAAGGAGGACAATAACGTAATGCTCTTTGATCCTGAGTTAATCCCTGTGCTGTGCTGTTTTTTTTTATTTCAGATTTTCAACAATAAACACGGTGATATTTATTTATATACTAAAAAGTTAATTTGGGATTATCACGACTAGATTAGGGCCAGGAACTGTACGAATGTCCAGAAATAAGACCTGGCCTTGGAGGGAGGTCAATGGAGGGGCGGGGCTGACAGGGGTCCCTCTTGCGTGTGCTGTCCTGTCCTGTCCTGTAGGTGGAGCTTGGACTAAAGAAAAAACATCTGAGTTTTCCTATGTAAGTCAGGTCAGGCTGGGTGAAAAAAATAAAGTCAATGTTTTGTCTTAAACATCGTCAGTTTTAAAGCTTTTCATTTTTATTTTCCTCCAGATATGATGCAAACCTTCAGCCTCAGGGAACAAAAGATAATGTGCTGTCTTTTCCCTGATGCTATTAAACTCACACTTAGTATTCTGCCCCTCTACAAACACCGTGTAATTGAAATATCCGATGACAAACGACCTGTCATGGTACTTTTTTTTTTCAATGATGAGTTCTGCAAATATAAGAACGTGCAGCTTTGGCCTCCTCTCTGCAGGGCTTACTCTCTGTCATTGAGAAACTGAAGGGGTCCACGGAGCAGGAAGTCAGGATAGTGCTTCTGGGGCTGGACAATGCTGGGAAGACCACGCTGCTGAGGAGCCTGGCCTCTGAAGACGTGAACACCATCACGCCGACACAGGTGAAAATACACACAGGACCAACTCTTAGCTGTTTTTGTAAATCCTTTCCATTCGTATTTCAGAAGGATATCAGAAGTTCTGTAAATTCATTGTTTACAATTGCGACACTTTTAAAAATGACTCTCTGACTCTCACCATCATTTTTGTTCACCACATATTTTAAAGTTTAAGGCTCTTTGACCCAGAATGTAAAAAAAAGCCATTAGGATTACTAATCTCATGAAACCTGCGTGATCAGTGCGTGCCTGCACTCACGGTAATTGGATTTGTATGACCTTTGCGTTTCAGTGAAATTAAACGACAGGTTTTCCAGTAACAAAAAAAGCGCTTTGGCCACTAATCAGCATAAAAACGACAGGATGTCAGATCACTCGGATGTTTAATGGCCTTCAGTCAGAAAACAAACCCTGGCCTGGCATGACCTTCTTGTTGGCACGCAGACGGCGTCATTTCTGAGCAGAAGTTCTGTCTCTTTTTATCACCACTGCCATCAGATGTGATTATCTACGCTCTAATGTCATCAGATAATTCCCTAGCGTCGCTGGGCCAGATGTAATGGCAGGTCCTGGATGAGTGTGACAGCTCATCAGACATCACGCAGAGATGTTTGACATGGCGGTCGTCACCACCGGGCTTAGCACGCGCACTGCAACTGATCCTCCACGTCTTATCCTCACACACGCAGGCCTCGGGATAACGCTGTTATACAACGTAAAGTAGGTTTGTTATGAAAAACAGTCACAGATTAACTCCGTTTGACCACAGCTAACCGTCCGACAGGCTGAAAATAAAAGAAACAGCAGCCAAACTGTGAATAATCCACACACCTGTGAACTCATCTCTTCCGTCCTGATCAGGTCTCGACATCGTAACTAGAGCTTTGACTTTACTTTACTTTTTAACTCAAGGGGTTCAACATCAAGAGCGTGGCCTCCCATGGCATGAAACTCAACGTTTGGGACATCGGAGGACAGAGGAAGATAAGACCTTTCTGGAAAAAGTACCTGGAAAATACAGACCTGTTGGTAAGAGAGCGATCATAATTCCGTAGTGTGTCAATATATGACAGAGAGAAAAAATATTTTAAATGTCATAAAGCTTTGTATGTAGCTAGAAGTTTCAAAAGGTCGGAACCCAAATGTAGCACGCCACTTTTTTTTTTAAATTATAGATATAAAAAGACGCCCTGTGGGGGGATGAAGAACAAATGCTAAATCAAAACTACACAGGAAATGAAAACACCAGGAGAATGACAGATGGAATGGACCAACAATGAGAGACATATAATATTGGATCAGGTCTGAGTGGTGAGGCTGATGCTGGAGTGGCTCGCAGGAGGAAAAACACAGGAGGAAGTGTGAGGAGGAGAGAGGCTGATTGTCAGGGGAGACCAGCGGGAGGGAGGGGCAGAGGAGAGCGCGACAGATGAGAAAGCTGGTGTGGTTCAAGTCAATTTTCCTACAGTACTTTTACCTGGATGACTCAGGACCCTCACAGACGCCGTGGTAGATGGGGGTCAGTAAGAGAGTTAATGGGGTCAACGTGAAAGTTGTGGGTTTGATTTCTGACTGATGTTTGGGGATAAGTCCCTGCAGAGACAACCAACAAACACGAACAATCACAGTCATAGCTACGATCCACTCAGAAAGTCAATTAAAGCTAACAACGGGTGTTGTAGCACAACCCAGTGGTAGCTATGCTTCAAAATTCCACTTTATTAGAAATCATTGTATATCTCTGACAAAACTGCTGTACAGTGTGGGTTCCAATCTGTAGGATAGATATGAATATTGAAATTTGAATTAATGTATTAGCTCTGTGCCCTGTGGGGGGTCCGCCCCCCTCTTTGGGAACCACTGGCTTAACAAATCTTCCACCACAAGATGTATGACATGTTTGATATGACTATGGTTACCAGAAGAATGTACAATTTAATATAATCTATCTATATTCAGTTTGACTCTCTGCTCTTTGATTTTTTTTTTTTTTTCAGATCTATGTCATCGACAGCGCAGACAAGAAGCGGTTTGAGGAGACAGGATTGGTTAGTACTTTACTACTCAGTACTTTACTGACTGTACGGTACTACCTTATTAATTAAATATGCAATAATTATACGTGTATCTACCTGCAGGAGCTCTCAGAACTCGTCGAAGAGGAGAGCCTAAAGGGCGTCCCTGTGCTGGTCTTTGCCAACAAGCAGGACCTGGCCACAGCATCTCCGGCCAGTGAGATTGCTGAAGGACTTAATCTGCACACGTACAGGGACCGGGAGTGGCAGATTCAGGCGTGCTCAGCTGTGTCCGGGGAAGGGGTTCAGGTCAGATCCAGCTCCATCGACTGTATAGTCACTGTAAATGTGGAAACTGCATGGGTTTAAATCAGGACAGGCTGCAAAGTCCCCATACAGTATGTGGTTAAAGAGTGTGTGTGTGTGTGGGGGGGGTGTTAATAGACAATAGCATTTAAACTAAAAGTACTTTGTTTGTGTCATTTCTTGTAGTTATCCCTAATGTTTTCTTCTTCTTCTTCTTCTGCAGGATGGCATGAACTGGATTTGCAACAACATCACAAACAAGAAAAAATGAGTCGTCGTGGAGGAGCACGGCTGAGGACGAACACGTGATCACCAGAGCAGAAAACAGAATTATTCCACTGTGTTAAATGTCGGTGCACTTCATGTCATTTTTATAACATTTTGCAAATGTAGCAAACGTACTGTTTTAGGACAAATGTGTGAACGGAACCCTCAGTCAGAGGGTCTCCGTCTGGTGCTGTGTTTGTAGCCATGTAAACCTGTTAGCATTTGTCAGATACAAACGCCAGTGAATGTGAAAAGTGTACGTTCTGATGTTTTTGGAAATGAAAAAAAAAAAGTTCAAATATAGTTTGTTTTCCTTTGTGGCCATAATGACCAATTAATAGTTTGTCACAGAAGAGCAGAAAACACTTACGTGTGTGTAAATGTCAACGCTCCTCTGAGTGACAGCCAGGACAATAACAGTCTGATCCTCCGCCGCTCAGCTGTCAAACGGCTTTATTTCCACACCATGGCGACGAGGTCTGGCTGCATGAATTGAGAGATCAAAGAGACGTGGAATTAGAATAATCACAAAGAATCTCTCAAGAACAAATGTCAAGAACTGCCACGCAAAAATAGCAAAAGGCTAAAAGCTCAAAATTGAAAATAAAAAACCATCAGAAGCGCAGACACAGATGTTCTAATTAAACAAAGGCAACGCTGAACAAATTGGTCCTCTGATCTGCTTTGTTCAGAGAGACAACGGCGTCCTCAGATCTTAATTAGACCGAGATTCCACAGCGTTGGAGCTGCGGCTACAAAAAGCAGCTCTGCTCAGCCTGCAGCGCAGGACGCCATGGTACAGCTGAAGTACTGCTGTGTACAGAGGAAGTAACAGTTCTGAGACGTGGGCAGGTACTTGACCCAGTTAAACTGTGGTAAAAGTTTTGACTGGGATTTTACAGACGTGCTCCTGGGATGTGGATAGTTGTAGCATTTTACAGTTAAATGACTGTGAGATTATTTATTAGGATCAGAGCTGCGATTATTGGGCTAATAATACGATAATTAGCCTAGTTAGCAGCACAAGACACAGTAAAATGCAGTAGCACAAATTTAATTCACCTCTGAACAGTATAATGAAGTAGCACAAATTTAATTCACCTCTGAAACAAAAAAGAATTTGAAAAGAAAAATTGACGCACATGAAACAAGCAGGAAAATAAAACATCCATACCCTTAGAGGGAGCCCAAGGGCTACCAATGCTTAGGGTGCCTCAGATTGAGAACCAAAGCTTTATACTCCCCTTGGGAGAGTATTGGAGAAATATAATCATTTTTAGAGGAGGACAACGTTCAAGTTCCGAAGACATCTCAAACGTTGACTGTGGACGATTCAGATTTAAACTAGACAATACTTTAACAGTAATCACGGCCACAACAATTAACTCCACCGCTAAATGTTGCCTAGTTCGACACATGTATTTTGCATGCAAATGTATGGTCAATATTTATGTTTTTTTATTCTTAAATAACAATGTAAACAAACCCCAGCCTTAATTGATTGTGATATATAATTAGTTGTGGTATTTTGTTGTGGAGGGCTGTGATAGGTCAGGGGTCACATGAAACCGCGATGGACTTTGGAGAAGTCTGTGCTCGGCTTTAACTCGTGCGTTCTGACTCTGCTGAGCTGGAGCTGGAGCTAATGGTTCTTTTGTTTCTATTATCTGGATCTGCATGTAATTACGCATGTGAAAGCACTCGGAAATCACAGCAGCTGCCAGACTTTCCACCGTTGTCCTCCTCCACATTTGAATTATAAGTCAATGCATGCGTCTCCCTTTGTCTTATCTGAAACTCACCAGCGTTGCTCCGTGGTGGGGCCGCTTCCCTGGACTCTTAGCAGAGCATTATCAGAATGACTGGGCATCATTAGAACAGTTAAGTCATCTCCATGGAGACTTAACTTTGGCTTAAGTCCTAACGCATTTTTTCAGGGCATCGATTGTCGAGGCACAGCAGGGGTGTGGGAGCAATTATAGCCGGGACTGAAGGATCATTGTGGCCGTTTGAAAGAATGGACCAGAATGGACAGGAGCTGGGCTGATGATGAGACGGATGTGTCTGCTCTGGCTTATTGACCAACAGGGGGCAGCATTAGAGTGCCTGATCAATCAGTGGGACGAGAGTTGTGCTGTGCTTCCTAAAGCGCACACACAGAAATGACTTGGCACGCCGTAGTAGCATTAATATCCACTCGTGTTAATTAAAATACTCCTCAGACTCAGAGTGCTACTACAAAATATACTGTAGTATTTTTCCACACGTGCTACAAGTGGCGTGAGGACGGTGAACGTTCTAGTCAGTTCTATCTCCTCTCCATCTCTCATTCCATATCTTTATAAATACAATCTTGAGGTGATGTCACTTTGATGTGAGAGGGTCCCTCAGCCATTGTTGCCATGACAACTCCCCCTGTTATTCTTGGTCTACAAACCTCTCTCATTCAGTCCAGCCCTTCTTCCCTCCCTCTCTCCCTCTCTCCCTCCCTCCCTGTCTCCCTAACTCCCTGTCTCCCTTCTGTGGTTCTCCATTTCTTTTCATTCTCCAAAGACCTGCTCATCAAAAGACACAGGAAAACACATCCCAGGTAAGAACAAAGCACAGGGACACAAACAAAACCCCACTCACTATAGAATGTATATATATATATATATAAAACAATGGAATAATCAAATGTAAAATACTTCAGGATCAAGTGTAACAAGTTGTCGGCTCTCTTGTTGTTCAGCTGTGTTTGCTTGTTGTTTTTCATGCATCAAAACTGCCCTGTTCTGTTTGAGCACTCTTGTAAATTAAACCAAAATAAAATCTCTCTGCTCAAGGCTACAGACAATTTTCCAAAAGGGCAACGACCGTCCCATCATGCAGGACGTCACCCCTCCCGCCTCCACCAAGCTACAGCTCCCCGCTGCGGCTCCCCACCCCCATCTTCACAACACCACCAGCAGCTGCCAGACTTTCCACCGTTGTCCTCCTCCACATTTGAATTATAAGTCAATGCATGCGTCTCCCTTTGTCTTATCTGAAACTCACCAGCGTTGCTCCGTGGTGGGGCCGCTTCCCTGGACTCTTAGCAGAGCATTATCAGAATGACTGGGCATCATTAGAACAGTTAAGTCATCTCCATGGAGACTTAACTTTGGCTTAAGTCCTAACGCATTTTTTCAGGGCATCGATTGTCGAGGCACAGCAGGGGTGTGGGAGCAATTATAGCCGGGACTGAAGGATCATTGTGGCCGTTTGAAAGAATGGACCAGAATGGACAGGAGCTGGGCTGATGATGAGACGGATGTGTCTGCTCTGGCTTATTGACCAACAGGGGGCAGCATTAGAGTGCCTGATCAATCAGTGGGACGAGAGTTGTGCTGTGCTTCCTAAAGCGCACACACAGAAATGACTTGGCACGCCGTAGTAGCATTAATATCCACTCGTGTTAATTAAAATACTCCTCAGACTCAGAGTGCTACTACAAAATATACTGTAGTATTTTTCCACACGTGCTACAAGTGGCGTGAGGACGGTGAACGTTCTAGTCAGTTCTATCTCCTCTCCATCTCTCATTCCATATCTTTATAAATACAATCTTGAGGTGATGTCACTTTGATGTGAGAGGGTCCCTCAGCCATTGTTGCCATGACAACTCCCCCTGTTATTCTTGGTCTACAAACCTCTCTCATTCAGTCCAGCCCTTCTTCCCTCCCTCTCTCCCTCTCTCCCTCCCTCCCTGTCTCCCTAACTCCCTGTCTCCCTTCTGTGGTTCTCCATTTCTTTTCATTCTCCAAAGACCTGCTCATCAAAAGACACAGGAAAACACATCCCAGGTAAGAACAAAGCACAGGGACACAAACAAAACCCCACTCACTATAGAATGTATATATATATATATATAAAACAATGGAATAATCAAATGTAAAATACTTCAGGATCAAGTGTAACAAGTTGTCGGCTCTCTTGTTGTTCAGCTGTGTTTGCTTGTTGTTTTTCATGCATCAAAACTGCCCTGTTCTGTTTGAGCACTCTTGTAAATTAAACCAAAATAAAATCTCTCTGCTCAAGGCTACAGACAATTTTCCAAAAGGGCAACGACCGTCCCATCATGCAGGACGTCACCCCTCCCGCCTCCACCAAGCTACAGCTCCCTGCTGCGGCTCCACAGCCCATTTTCAACACTACGACCTCCAGACTGGGCGACCTGACCACTACCACGCCACTCAGCTGGGGGGAGCTGCACATGCAGGTGCACGCCATCCTGATCATTTTCATTTTCTGCGTGGTCTGCTTACTGCTGGTGCTGGCCCTTTTATATGCCTTCTGCTTCCACTGCTCCATCAGTTCATCCAGCAAAGACTCACACAGAGCCAACACATGTCACCTGGATCGAGAGGACGCCACCTACAAGTGCAGCTCCACTGAGCTGCAGTCGGTGGGAAACATGGTTTGATGAAGCCAGTGAAGCAGGAGGGCTGACGCAACACTTTCAGACTAAGGTTCTGAAAGAGTCACTGAGAGTTGCAAGTTTGAATCCAGCCAGATGTGACGTGTCGAGCAAACACCAATGCTATTGCAACCAGAGCTTTTTCGAGGGCGACCACTGCTCCCCAGGACTGGGCGATGGGGTAAAGGCAGAGGACAAATTTCACTTTGTGTCTGTATATGAATAGTGTATATATATATATATATATACAAATATATGTTTTCACTAATATAAATATTTATACATATATACATATATAGTAGTGAAATCATATATTTGTATGTATATATATAATATATGTACATATATATGTAGTCTCTGTGGACATTGAAATATATTGTGTTTTTCAGCTTTGTTTTTCAGGGACATCTTGAATACTGTGGCATGAAATGAATTTGCTTTAATAAAGTACGAGTGCAATTCATATATAAGTCCTGTACGTGTCAGTGCCTGAGCTAAGATAAAGCAAACGTGTGAAAGAAAAAAAAAGAAAAAAAGAAAAGGTAACCACAGGCACCTCAGCACTCAGCTCTTTTTATTTATTTTTTTCACCAAGCTGACAAGTGTTTTTATTATGCTGTGACTGTGCATTTGAGGAGGCTGATACAGAATAATGAATCCAACAAAGTGAGGTGCAGAGGCGAGAGGAAAGAAAGAGAGAAAGACTCTGAGAAATCACTCTCCTCGCTGAGTAAAACAATATGTCACATCTATAAGGCACCACGGAAAAAAATACTGCAGGAAATTACAGACGCCCGTGTCCAGCTGAACCCTATGGGGTCAACACTTTCTCATATCATTACAGTGGGAAACTTCCCGTTGAAGTTCCTGGCAGCGGCTGATTGGAGATATTAATTGGAGGAGTGTCTGATTTCTCCTGGGACTGACGGAGCTCGGAGACAGCTGCTCCACACAATCAGGTGTAAAATTAACACTAATGGCGCTGATTGATTTCTGTATTACCACAGCTAAACAAGCACTGACGCATTTGTTGTGCAGCGTTTACACCAAACACACGACACTAGAGATTAAATGTTGTCTAAGTCTAAGTCAAACAAAGCGTCGCCCCGGAGATTCCGGCACCATCGTCGCAAAACGACCTTATAAAAAAAAGGTTTGGAAACAGCAAAACCTAAAATAACAGTTGGTGCTTTGAGCACATGCATTTAAAAAAATAATAAAAATAAAAATAAATTATTAAACAGTAATAAATATCTATTACTGGCTGCGGTGTTAGCAAGCGTCTGCTCTGGAGCCTTTTCTACTCTGTAGCTCAGGACATGGAGCACATGGCACTTTTGGAGCAACGGGAGTCACAGGAGCTTTCATGGGAATCCATGATGGAGTCTCTATCTGACTGTGGCAAGTCCATTTCCAGGTGAGGGTCCTGAAGGCCGTCCTGCAAAGCATCCTTATAGTGAGATTGCAGGGAGGACAGTTCATCATAAACAACAAGGATCCGTCGTGGAAAAACATACAAAATACATACGTTTTCATAATCATAAAAAGCTGATATTCCCTCTTACTTTATGAACAGACATCTCCTCCACCCTACACTCCTCCATGGACTCCTCCAGAGAATGGCCGGATATCGCCATCTTTATGCGATGAGAGCGAATAGACTTGACATCGTCCTCGTCTTCCCCCGCCACCAAAGGAAAAACCTGAGGGCACAGAAACAAAAAGGAACTCAGAGAATCAAAGATGATGATAAGGCAAAAAAAAAAACCCAAAGGTTGCATGTTGCAGTCGGGCATGTCCTTACTGAATGTTTTACCAGTCCCTCTTCATTTCCCGTAGGCTCAGGGGCCGAGATGGTAGCCTTGCTGATGGCCTTGCTGATGGTCTGAGTTTCGAACTGTGGACACGCCGCCTGAGCGTTCCCGTCCTTGTCCCGCTTTCCTTTCAGCCAGTAAGTCTCAATCTCAACGTTTCCCTGCAAAAAACCGGCAGACAGACATAAAATCAAACACTGTGAGCTCTGAGTCACAACCTCTGTAGTGGAGTGAAGTGAAAAAGAGCTGATGGCAGAATTTCAACATTCAAAATTCCCTGATGAAAATTGAGCCACTGTTGGTTTCTTGAGATTGGAACGTGTAATCAGCAGCCTCGGAAAAACCGTCGGGAGTCACTTTGCCGGCATTATCGCTAAATGTGCAGCCTCGGAGTCGAAGCCACTGATAAAATGTACTCACAAATCAACACACGCAAGCTGCAACGTGCTGGCTCTGAGCCCTGAGTGTGTGCTGGCTCCTCTGAGCCACAACATAATGGTTTATTATAAATATTTTGTTTAGAAACTTTCGTTAATGCAAATTACAGTTTAAGTAAGCACTCCCTCGTAGGGTGTGCACAGGGTGGAAACATTTAATTTCGAGTGCAGACACGCGCTTTAGTCTTTATTTTAAGCATCATTACCGTTCATTTGTTTGTCCCCCACTGCACGTTTGCTAATTACTCCACTCCAGAATCAACAAGGTTCTTCAAATGAACTTTCATTTAGGTGTTGTTTCAGTGCATTTGACAAAAACAAAAACATTATTTTTGTTACTGGACTGAGGCAGATGCCTGACCTTGATGGTGATGATGCCCCGCCTTTCAAAAATGAAGTGGCTTCCTTTCAGGTGCTCATAGGTGGCGCTGCTGAGCTGAATGTGCATCTCCTGGTTGAGGCAGAGATTAACCAGTCACAACAAAATCACAGAAAATGGCAGATCATGCTTCAAACAATGCTGGTTTCAGAAGGAGATTTGTATTTTTTAAAAACAAAAAGCAACTTAATCCTGCGGTCTTTTGGTTTAAGGCCTCTATTATCACTGTTTGAAAACAAGTTCAAATTAAAGGAGAAATCTAGACTTTGGCCATTTATTACAGATGAAATTAAATCCAGTGAAAGCTGATTCATTCCTCATTTGCATAGATGGTACATCCAGTTAATTAGTCTATGTCTGTGGTTTTCAAAAAGGGGGCCACCAGGGGGCACACGTTGGGCCTCAGAAAATTGTAGGGAAGATAAGAAAACATTTTTAATTTTTGATTTAATTTTTTTTATAACTATTTTTCCTGAACCGTATGACACATAAACTGCCTAAATCGTCAGATCCTCAAGTTTCCAATGGTACCTGAACGCACCTCATCTGCAACTTTTGGCATGTCATAAACTGTGTAGAATCCATTCTTTTTTTTTTTTTTTTTACATATTTTGTAGCATCGTCTTCGACCAGAAGCTAATGCTGTTTTAAGGAAAGCCCTGGTCTATGCCACTACCTTTCCATTGCTCTCCATGGCAGATGCAGTGTGGACGGTGTCACCATGCAGACCATATCTTGGCATCTTATGTCCCACCACTCCAGCCACAACCATGCCTGAGTGGATTCCTTAAAAAAAAGATTTGAACAACTTATCAGTTCACTCACTTCTATCCAAACAGAAATGACGACGAGGAATCAGAAAAACAACCACACACCGACACGAATCTGTATGTTGTTGCCATTGGAGGGATCTTTAAGATGATCGATGGAGCGCACCATGTCCAGAGCCATGTCACAAATGTTATGAGCGTGATATTTTGTCTTCTCTGGAGCTCCAGCCACCACCATGTAGGCATCGCCAATGGTTTCAACCTGCAGAGGGCGTCACAGCAGAACTTTCTTATCCAGAGGAACAGATACTGTATATGAGTAGAAGTACACACAATAAACACACACACACACACACCTTGAAGACAAGGGGCTTCTCACTGAGTGTGTCAAACAGTGTGTACATGGTGTTGAGCATGGACACCACCTGCATTGGAGTGATGTGGCTGCAGATGCGAGTGAAGCCCACCACATCACTGAAGAGAATGGTCACATCTGGGAATACCTGTGGGGGGGGAGGGGGGGAGAGATTGGGGAGTGGGTGAAACCAGGCTGAGAGGACAAGAAGACATTCTTGGACCAGTTTGAAGTGTATTCTGGTTATGATGAACCACAATAGACTGTTCATAAGACACGGACGGAGGTATCTTGTTGCAGAAGAAAGCGATGGGTAAGTAGGAGGAGGTTCTCCTTTGTTTTTATACATCAACAACAACATGATCTGAGAGCCTGTGTTGCTTCTTTCAGTATTTTTTAATGGTTGTTATGATTTATGTCAGCGATATTTCTGACCACTGTAGAGGTCACTGCAACATCAGGCTGTTTGGAGACAAGGTAAAACAACAAACTCTTCTAAATGATTCTCTACCAAAACTACAATATTTGTCTGGATCCTAATTGTCAAAAACCTTCTGCAGTTCTCAGTGTTTAAGGTTCTAAAGCCGTGGTCTAAGTCTCACAAAGATTGTACTTTTGATTTAAGTTGAATAAAACCTAAATTCCAATCAAGCCCAGATGATACGTATCACACTAACATGCATGGGCAAATTGGTTCTACGCTCTTCTGACTTCTCTCTTCCACAGCTCGGTATAGCAATTCTAAAAGAGCCCTGGTTTCATTTCTTGTTATTTTAATGAATGTACAGTCGAACCGGTTCCTGCCAAGAAGAAGAAAATAAATTACCTCCGACTGGCTCTGTCCTAACCCCACAGATAACAACAGCAGCCCTAAACTACATCGAGGCTCAGTAATTGTATTCTGGATCTTATTTGCAAAAAGCCGACTTTTAAATGGTGGCTGATTGATTTTTATTGCCAGCTGTGAGTGTCGTGGCGTTCGTCTCAGCAGGAGTATTCCCTCACGTTATTAAACTATCACTACGTTGAAGAGCGGGGCATTAAAAATATGAATAAGATAATTGCTTTTCATACGGTGTGGTATTTCAGGCGGTCAGTGAAGGTTAAGTGCAGCACACATGCCACTGTATATAAAGTGTACACAGACGGCCCTGACCTCACAAGTGTTTACAGCAGGCTCTCCTTTGCGCAGCCTTTTAGCCACTGGCTTTGGAATCATCCTGTACAAGAGGTCGTCGGTTTTCTTCATCTCGTAGTCCAGCATCTTCATGCTCTCCTCCAGCTTACTGGACTTTTTTTGCTCCTGCAGTCGCAGCAGAGAATAGGAGACAAACAAAAATCTCAGTTGCGTGGGATGAAGGTGATAGAGAGATGCCACGCTCAAAGAAGAGCAGCGACGCCGTATTTGCATTTTACACAACGACAAGCGAGCGGATCACGTGTAAAAATAAATAAATAAAAACCACATTGGACTGAATGGACCTGTATGAGAGCTCTCTTCAGCTCCTCTGACTGCTGAGTCCCTGCCAAAACCAGGTCTCTGCTGGAGTCGTGCATGCTGAGGTCGTTGATGTAAAGGCCCGTTTTGAACATGGCACTCAGACTCTCCATCCTGCACATGGGAGAAAATGTAAAATGTAAATTACAGGAATGGAATCATTAATGTGACAACTAACACAGCGGAAGTAAAATCGCAACGCGTCGATCCGTCCCCGTGGACGATGTCCGTTCCCTGGATGTAGAGAACGGACCCCTGTACTCGGAAAATAATCAGGTTTTAGAAGAGGAGGGAAATGTTTTGGTAATGTACTCTGTGGAAAACACTCTCAGTTGCAAATGGGTTCCCATTACACTCACAAGAGCTGCATTGTCTGATTACAGGCTAATTAGCAGCTCATTTCATGCATGGTAAGTGCTGTTAGAAAGGGCCTCTGATTTGATTCACTGCCCATGCTTTTATTTCCAGCCTCCTAATTCAGTTTAGCTCTTGCTGCTTTTGAAACTGTTTTACTTTTCAAAATGCACTTTATTAATAAAGACTTGGTCGTGTGTGTGTGTGTGTGTGTGTGCGTGTACCTTACATATACTTGGAGCTTCAACATTTAGTTTGGTGTCGGGGTTAGAAATAGGTTTGGGTAGGGTTCAACTTTATGTAATGTTTGTGAATTAAGTGTTTGCATGTTTTTCATCACAAAACAACACATTCATGGTTCATACACCAGTCAGCTGGTATTTCCAGTAGGCAGCAGTTCATTCTGAACAGTCTGCAAACTGACTTATCCGTTACTGTCAGATAATGTGGGACATAAAGACTCAAAAGTTGCCCTGAAATCACTGTTTGTACTTAAACAGCAGAACAGCATTGTGTCGCTGTCCTCTTTAACAAAAACGATTCTGTAGAACGACTGCTATAAAAGTGTCCTCTTTAACAACAACGATTCTGTAGAACGACTGCTATAAACGTAACACGCTGAACAACTGCCTTCAGTTAAATGGTTGAAATGTGTTCGTGACCCTTGGTGAAATTTATTTGGTAGTTAAATGATGAAAGCGGCTCTTTGGGTTTTGAAGGTTGAAGACCCCAGGGATAGAAAAAGCATTAGGCCAATGTGAAGTGCTCACAAAACACAAATATCAGTGTGCGTGTGTGTTAATGGGTTTAGGGTGCTTACACAGGAGTTCCGAGGAAGATGATTGACTCCCACTCCGGCATGTATCTCATTTGTCCTTTCAGTTTCAGGCAGCGGCTTCCATCACCCCAGCTCTCCATGGCATTAGCACTGTTGCCGTCTGAACCAGCACAACAACACATTGCGCAGCAACATTACTAAACATCCACTGCATTATGGAAGAGTTTAATTTAGAATGTAAGCACTTTGGAGAGCAGCCGATTTTGATTTGGTGCCATAAAACCAAAACACACCAAAACTAAACAGCAGCCAGGAACTTAGTAGCTTAGCATAGTGCCAAAAAAACCATCCAGCACACTGTGATGAAACTGGTGTTTAGTCGAACAAACCCAGATTCTTCCACGGTAGCAGTGACTTACTCCTGTTGGTCTGGCACACAGAGAGTTAAGTGAATATCCTAGAAAACCTTTTCTTTTTTTCGGTGGTCGATAGTGTGAGAAAACCTCCCAGTGATAACATACATTCTTTCATTTTCACCTCAGGAAATAACTATTGAACCTTATAGCAGGTGGAAGGCCGCCTTTGTACAGAGTCACAAAAGGTTTGTTGCTCATGCTCTGAGTCAGTGATGCTAAAGCTAAGGCTATGCTGACTTCTCACTGCTTTTGTGAGCCGTTCAGAGAACAAAGAGATCAAGACCTTTGTAATCATCTCCGATGATGGACTGGAAGGCCATGAGCTCCACGTCTACATCAGCAGAACGGTTGGCATTTTCATAGTCGGAATCTGTGGAGAGACAGAGTCTGGTCTGAGACACTGACTTAAGTTCATTAAATACATTTATGTTAAGGAGAAAAAACAAATAATTCCATTTCAGTATAATTATAACAAACGCTAATGTTTAGGGAAATGGTTTACAGCGCCCCCTTCTCTATAATTGACCTTTGTGTGTGAATCCCAACCAAACATTCAGATGATCCTGTGTCCATTTCCACACTTACTCTGAACTCTGTTGTGGAGGTTCCTCTCTCTCTTCACAGGCTCCTTGGACATGATCTCAAACAGGTTGTTGGGATGAGAAATGATCTGTACACACATTAAAAAAAACAAAACTGTTTATTGCAGTTAGAAATACAGCTAAAATAAAAGTAATCAATAGTCCATAACATTGCTTACCATGTTCCATGTGAACTCCACCAGGGGGCGAGCCAACAAGAACGCATCAGTGATCTTCTTCCCATCCAGATCAGGAAAGACCGTGGCCAGACCTGAACCCACGTTATGCACCACCATGTCCTGTGAAATCAACAAATTTGTAAATTGTAATTAATTTAAGACATATAGCATGTTTCCAAGATCGGTTGATGGGATTACCAGTAGATTACCAGCGGGATTACCTGTCTGAAGACAGTGTTGAAGGGGAAGACCTCAAAGAAGAAATCGGAGGTGATTGGCAAAATCTCCTGCTCCTCCTCATCCTCCTTCATAATGTAGCGATAGGCTGAGTTGTCAAAGTTGAGCCTGTAATGCCATTCAAATTTAAAAGGTTTCAGGTTGAGATTTTTTTGTAAAATAAAATCGACTTTTTAGTTTTTCTTTTTTTTTTTTTTGCATTGTAAGTGGTTGGCATAGCGATTGATGTGCTGCACACAAACCTGTGGGGTGAAAAAAAAATGGAAGCTGAATGAAAGCACAGTGTTGACGTCTGACTGCTGTGAGCCATTTGAACAAACACGGTCATTTAATATAGAGGATTCATTAATTAATAATTATAAGGAAAAGAGCTGCTTTGTTTGTTAAATAAATGCCAATCCTGGAATAATGAAGACAACAGTTTATAGTCTCAGCTAATGCTAAATGCTACATGTAGAATTATTCCATAATAAATTTCCGATGTTGGAAGTTTTACCATATCTATAAAGGTCAATTTACACTCATACCTATCCTTTAAATCAGATGTGTGTGTGTGTGTGTAGGAAAATAGTATTATTATATTAGCGTAGCTTCTGTTGTGGTTTGCCAAAGTGTAGCTGATCCAGCTCAGAGCCGTTACACACTCCTAAAGGTCACAGGATGTTTTGAGGGTGAGTTGATTTTATTAATGACGAAGAGTTTTTAGGGCATATTTCACAGTTATTTCCTCAGAGTTTTCTTTGGACTCACCTCATCGTGACGTGGGAATAATCTCCGACCATCTGCTCAGACAGCACCTCCACGTGGATGTCAGTGTCGTAGAACTGTTTGCCCATCTGCCGCAGCTGACCCATGGCATAGTGCAGGTAGCCTTTACGCTTACTCCTGCAGAACACAGATCATTTATTAAAATGGCTTCATTTCTGAAAACAAAAATCTCTCTGTGTTCTTTCTCCAGTGCTTTGTCCTCGCACCTGTAGTGGAGGGTGACTCCAGTGGCAGACTCCTCCTGACAGAAGAAGGTTGGTGGCTGCACCTTGGGGTAGCTGAAGCGCAGGTACTCGTGGAGGTTGTCCAGGCCGTTGACAAAGTCACGGACATGACGACCCAGCACCTGGAGCCAGGAGGACGCAGGGTAAATGATCTGCTTCACTTCTTCATCAAACATATCAATCAGACATTGGTCTGTTTGATATGTTCGACTACTTTCATCTCCACTCTGACAAAGTCCAATCCATACCAGAGGACAAGATATTTCCAAATGAGACATCTCCACTCACCTTAAGGATCCGGTCGTATCCATACTTTCCTACAAATCCCAGAAAGTACACGCCCCAGGAGTTCATCAGCTCATTGTACGGCGTGCCAGTCACTCCACTGGCTGCCTTTGCAATCCGGGGAATAACACTCTCACTGTACACCTACGACACCACATCAAGAGTAAAACAGAACAGCAAAGGCACTGCATGATGAATTTCATTCACACTGTATTTAAAACTAATTTTATGCAAAGTGCAAAAATACTCTAGTACTGTTGTACCTGGTGGGTGACAAATGAGTGCAACCTGACATCTGCTCTCTCCCTGACCAGCTTCCACACATCATCTCCATACGACTCCTTGATGAAGTCGTGAAGGCTCTCGCACAGCAGCCCGTACATTATGTCTCTCTGGATTGAAGGTGAAGCTAAGCAATGTCACGACTGCTCCTCGACTGATTGACCTCCAGCAATCCTTTCAAAAGCAACCTGCAGGCGGAAGAGAAAAGTGTTGACGACTCGACGAATGTGAATATAGATGCTCTGAGCACTGAATGTCGCCACTACCTGCGAGGTTTTGAACTTCCTGGGAGCAGCCAGATATGTATGGTTTCATCTGAAGGCCAGCTGTACAAATGGTTTTAAAGGTGCCCTGCTTGTAGAAACCCCTTTTCTCTGGAGGGGGCTCTATTGTTCATGTGTCAGCTGTCAGTGCCTGGTGGTTGAGTGTGACATAAACACACTGCCAAAGCCACCTCTCAGACACAGATGACTCTGGTCACAAGATTTCCTCCTGTTTTCCTCTAGTTTCAATAATGTGGATATTAGTAAAGAATTTGTAATTAATAAAACGGTCAATAAAGTACATTTTTTATCAGGTAATCAAAGGGTAGCTGTGGATTAATCACAATCATAAATTATCAAGATTAATCAAAATTACTCATGATTAGTGACAATAAGTCACAATTAATCATGATTCATTAAGATAATAAATTATTATTATTAATCATGTTAAATGTACAATTGATAACAATGAGTCAGGATTAGTGACAATCATGATTAATCATGATAAATTAAAAAAGTACTTTTTACTTTTTACTACTAAACCTTTTTATTATATTTAGTATTTAGTATATTTAGTAATACTTTTTATGACTAAATATGACCAAAACATTTTTTGTTGATTTTTAATCCAAATCCAAATCCTAATCCAAATAATAGGATCAATAATATGTAATAAAGTTGAAAAAAATATCTTTGTTACTGCCCTGCACTCAGTGGTGCTGGTCTGACAGGACTGACCATGGACGGCATTCTAAACTCAGATTAATCTTCACTGTTTTAATTCATTAATAAATGTGATTAACCTGCTGATTTTGACTGCTCTTCTAATGATGTAAAGCATATTCCAACCCACATGTTGCTGAATGACCCAGCGCAGCACAAGCCTTGACCCTGTTTCTATTGATTGCCTTTTTCTGAGAGCATCAACTTTTGTCTAAACAAAGACACTGTTTAGACTGGATGTTTTTCTTATGATTCAGAATGACTCTACATTTTGTGTCAGAAGCCGGGAGGTTTCCCACCAGGGGCAGAGTGATATTGTTCAACAGGCCTGGTGCAAAATCGATATCCAATCTCAACAAGGATAAAGAAAATGTTTTTTCTCCCTGCTGGCTCCTGCTGAGTTCAATGAATCAATTTGTGTGGGGAAAAAGCTCCAGATAAAGACTAACTTGAGTAAAATATACAGTTAAAGGGCAGCACCTCTGTGGTGTAGGTGGATGGCTGATAATCATAATATTTTATGTGATTAAAGGGTCAAGAAAAGGCCAGGGACGAGAGTGTGTCGTAGAATGTCAGAGTTCCTACACATTCAAAAGCCATTCATTAATCCTTTGACCAAACACTGAAGGACTAAAACCACAACCTGTGATTGTGGCACCCTCATCAATTGTCCGGCTTCAGCCTTGACTCTGTTTGTGCCACTGCATGCAGCCAATACCCAGCACTGCTGCCCTGCGGCGAGTGCAGGAGTTTTATAGGAGGGAGAGAAGAAAGAGAAGAGAAAATAGAAATTGTGTTTGCGGTGAGTTTAGATGCTGGGCATCTCATATAGCTGTCACCATCTGGACAGCTGCTGCTGGGGTGCACGCACACACACACCCAGACACAAATGGGCGCATGCACAGAGATCAAGTTTTTATTATGAAAGAGCCTCGAGGTCAAGATGTAAATCTCTATCTTGGCCCCTTCCTCTTAATCAGCCTTTTATATCCCCCTTCTCCCAGCCCTCCCCCGCTCCCTCTCTCCCTCTCTCCCTCTCTCCCTCTCTCCCTCCCCCCCCCCCCCCCTCCCCCCTCCCCCCCCCCCCCCCTCCCTCCCTCCCCCCCTCCCCCCCCCCCCCCCTCCCTCCCTCCCCCCCTCCCCCCCCCCCCCCCCCCTCCCCCCTCCCCCCCCCCCCCCCCCTCCCTCCCTCCCCCCCTCCCCCCCCCCCCCCCCTCCCTCCCTCCCCCCCTCCCCCCCCCCCCCCCCCTCCCTCCCTCCCCCCCTCCCCCCCCCCCCCCCCCTCCCTCCCTCCCCCCCTCCCCCCCCCCCCCCCTCCCTCCCTCCCCCCCTCCCCCCCCCCCCCCCTCCCCCCTCCCCCCCCCCCCCCCTCCCCCCTCCCCCCCCCCCCCCCTCCCCCCTCCCCCCCCCCCCCCCTCCCCCCTCCCCCCCCCCCCCCCCCTCCCTCCCTCCCCCCCTCCCCCCCCCCCCCCCTCCCTCCCTCCCCCCCTCCCCCCCCCCCCCCCTCCCTCCCTCCCCCCCTCCCCCCCCCCCCCCCCCTCCCCCCTCCCCCCCCCCCCCCCCCCTCCCCCCTCCCCCCCCCCCCCCCCTCCCCCCTCCCCCCCCCCCCCCCCTCCCCCCTCCCCCCCCCCCCCCCCTCCCCCCTCCCCCCCCCCCCCCCCTCCCCCCTCCCCCCCCCCCCCCCCCCTCCCTCCCTCCCCCCCTCCCCCCCCCCCCCCCTCCCTCCCTCCCCCCCTCCCCCCCCCCCCCCCTCCCCCCTCCCCCCCCCCCCCCCCTCCCCCCTCCCCCCCCCCCCCCCTCCCCCCTCCCCCCCCCCCCCCCTCCCTCCCTCCCCCCCTCCCCCCCCCCCCCCCCTCCCCCCTCCCCCCCCCCCCCCCCTCCCCCCTCCCCCCCCCCCCCCCCTCCCTCCTTCCCTCCTTCTTTGCCCCCTTTCCCTTCCGCTAAAATAAACTGAGTGAGCTAAGTACTGGAGGCATCCTGTGATGTCTTTTACGCAGACTGTACCCCGACTTCTGAGGAGGGTCTGAAAGTTGAGTGCGGATGCATCCCTGATCCAGTCGGGGATCAACCACACCAGAGTCCAGCAGAAGCTCCCGACACACTGACCAGGAAACACAGGTAAGACCAGAGTGGGTGAAGTTTAGACAGTTGTCTGATAATGTTTCCATTGTAAATGAGTAGAATGTGGCATTGGACTGGAAACCTTCGTACAAAAGGAATATGTGCTGTGCTGCAAGCAATGTTGTATTGAATATTTCATTCAGAGATTTATTCAGAGAAAAGGAAAATTAAAAAAAAACTGCAATATTAATAAATTACTATTTGTCACTGTGACATTCAGTTTAGTTTCAACACCCTGCAACTTTTCGCTGTGGACTTTTCCTTCATCAGAAAACATATTATAACATATTTCAATTGTTGTGTCCATCATAGACAGACGGCTCTGACGATGTGGTCCAACACAGATGAGATGACCAAACAGAGAATGTTACAAGCCAAGACTCTGTCCAAGGAGGCCAGGGGATGTAAGTTCACCGGCAGTGACTCCATTCTGTGTCGTGTCCCCGGAAGTTCAAAAATGTCCAGATAATAAAAAGTTACCTAATGTACTGCACTGACATACAGTACAGTATGTCACGGCGTCACACTGTAGTGACAGCCGGAGCTGTCAGAAGTAATTGAGCCAAACATCAAAGTGTGTTGGCCAACCGCCCGGGGCCGCATGGAGAACGGTTCACTCAAATCCCACGAGAGCCAGAGAGTTGTTAAAATTCTCATTGCCTTCCACCGGGGACCATCCCAGTGGCTGTGTTTGTTTCCCAGCACTGTCCGCCAGCTATGCTTTGAAATCAAGTTCCCAAAACTCAGCAAAATGTGACTCTGAACACTGAATTTCACGCAGAATGATCAAAGGCGGCTCCCGAAGGGAAACATATTGCGCTGACTTTTTTCTAATGCTTATCATGTCTGCCACTCATACATTAGTCTTTCCTCCAAAGATTCTATTTATATGCTCAGTTAGTTGCCCATGCAACCCTGGACCATAACAAACATTACACATCTCTTGACATCATCTTGAGGCTATTTCAGAGGCTCCACCGTGCCATGATACAACACGAGAAGGGAGAATCGGCCCAAGCAGAGCAAATACCAACTAAATGAGGCCGTGACACAGTTTGGCTTTTTTCATATCACCCGCACTCAGCTGTTCAAGGATGACAGGAACACGATGATCCGGGGAGATAGCAGGATTTGCCAAAGCTCCCTATTAGTCTGCCTAACTTCCCTTCACTTTCTGAATGATTCCTAGCTGCAGCAAATCATCACCCCTTGTAGTGACAATTAAATGTCACAGTGTATTTAAGCAGAGCTGGAATCGTGTCACAGCACACAACACAAAAACAGGCCCCGAAGTGTTCTCTGTTCTCATATACCGATGTTGTGAAAAATGCAAAGAGCCGTGTAATGAGTTCACTTATCAAAATGCCACCGTTTATCTTTCATGTTGTGCAAGGGGGTCGGAACCTGGGGAAGAAGATTAGCGTTCCAAAGGATGTGATGATAGAGGAGCTGACTGTCCCTTCCAATCGAGGCTCACGCATGTTTCAAGAGAGACAGAAGAGATCTGAGATGTTCACCCTGGAGAAAAGTGGCGTTCAGTACACCAATAATGTAAGGATCTGACATAAGAGGGGAATGCAGATTATGAAACTTTGTTTTAACCATGGAACGACTTCCAGGTGTTTTGAACGAGCACAGCCTTCACTTTCACTAAAGATTTTGGGGAAAGGTATTTTATTCCATGAGCAGAATTATTATTGTTGGTGTGTTTGATGCTAACAGCAAGTTACCAAGTGTTAACCTTACAACACCACGTGACATCACCGCTAGTTTGTGCTATTCTTACACACTACACTGCTTAGTCTATGATTTTGCTAAGCTAACAATATCAGCTCTTCAAACAAAACAAATGAGGCTACATGTACTCCCAAATAATTAAAAGTTATAAGAATATAATTTAAAAACAAATAGTATTACCTCCATGGGCGGAACCTCTGTGGTCCAAGAGAGTAAAACCAGGAAGTCCTTGGTTTGTCCAGGTTGTTTACATTCAGCTGGATGTGAAGTGGGGACTAGCTAGCTGTGGATGTACAAGCAACAGCATCAGTAAAGATGGGGTTTTTATATATTTAATTTCTGCCACTTTTAATAACATCTCCCTGAATGTACCTTCATGATATCCAGACCTAATGCTTATACTTATAACACTACATTTTAAGTATAAATGCACAAATAAAGTGCTAATAAACAACTACAATGGAAGTGGGGAGCAGCTATCTTGGATTTTTAAAATACAAATATAACAAACATTTTGTAAACCGTGTAAACCATATTTTTAAGTTACAAGACCGAAACCCAAACTGTCACAGTTTACCGACTATAGCGGCACTTTTAACAAATTAAATCACCATTTGTAATTTGTTATTTCTGTATTTTGTTTAGGCTGTATTCTCACTGTTTTGCTGTTATGTGTCTCAGGCCCAGGTTGAAGCCATCCCTCCCCCACAAGTTATCTTAGAGCCACAAGGAGGAAAAGAAAACCAGGCTTTCTCCAGCCCTGGTAAGCATAGCCTGGTCATGAACCTACAGAAGACTGTTGCAAAGAAGGGCAGTCCTGACGTCATTGCTCCAGGTATTACATAACTTTGGTGGAGACCAACACCAGCGCTTGAGCACTGCATGGTATCTCACTGGGATGTCACTTTCATCTGCTAGTCCTCAGTTTTCACATAGAAAGTGTGCTGAGCAAATACACTGATTGTGGGTTTGTGGAGGGTAATAATGTGTGAGCAGCTTAGCTGAGTGCTGTGGCGTATTTGCTCTGCTGGGCAGCCCTGCTTATACTGTCTGATTAGGTTGTTACCAGAGACTCACACTGAGATCTAATTACTGTCATTCTGTTTGCTGTTGACAGCACTGACATGGAAGACATTCATATCAATAACTGATCCACTACAAGCTTCATTTTAAAATGTACATTTCTGATTATTTGATGATTAATAGGACCATAAAGCTTTACTGCCTGCTGATATTTATTTGTTTGTTTTTTTGACACACAGGATACACTGGTCCTATGAAGGAAATTCCTTGTGAGAAGTTCAACACAACAGTTATACCCAAATCCTACAGCTCCCCATGGAGGGAAGCTTTGGGGAGCAGTGAAGAGCTCCTAAATGCCCTCAACACCCAGCTGCCCCAGCTCCCACAAAGGCCTTCCAACTACAGGTGCTTCAACAGGTAAAGCTTTTTCATTTCCTGTACAGATGGACATACAGGCTCTGAAATCTGCCTGTCCTCAAATAGACCTAGAGATGACCTAACTGTGCCATCCATCACATCATCTCTCCCCTCGGCTCTGTTCCATGTTTCCAGAGTTTGGAAATGAATCCAGTCTCTGGCTTGCCCCTGCTTGAATTGTGGCTATGTGATGCTATTTCTGAGCCACAGCACTTGAAAGATTATCTGCTGGGGGGGGGGGCTGTGTGCTTTTTATGTCCTCGCAAGACAGATTGCACAGGAATCATCTTTCTTGCGACACACAAGGAACTGCATCACAGCAGAAGGTCGGAACAAAGATTAACATAGGACAGAAACAGGCAACGCACGAGAGCTGACTCTGACCTAACGTAAACCAACAGTATCTGCCAGGCAGTCTGGACGACAGGATCCTTTTCCGCCCTGAATATTATCATGACATTGTAAAGGCTTAATTAAATTTGAACCTAACAAATGGTCCGCGCAGATGTAAGAGGCTGAGTTCACTAACAGTTTCATCCACAATCCCACATGGTCCACTCCTGTTAGCAGAACATTCACATATCAGACAGATGGCCAGACTGGGCATCATTTATCACCTAATAGCCTCTGCTCAATCCTCCTCCCTGCTTTTTTGGTAAGACTTTTAAGGCTGTTTCCCCCATTACTCTAAAACCTCTTCTGTTTATTCCAGATCTCCCAGGCCATTTGGAGGCATTATGGCCAGCAAAAGGGTGATACCGGTGATTGACTTTGAAGCAGTGGAATCCAAGTACCTGCCAGGCGCTGCCCTGGACCGCATGCACCAGCGACCCAACTTCAACAGGGCACCCAAGGGATGGGGTGCTGCTTATAATCCTGAGTCAAATGAGCTATGAAAGAGGACTGATAATCTAAAGACTGCAATGAGCTGACACATGCTTGGTTTTTCCCCCTCCAAAAAAATGTATCCTTTACTTTACTAAAGTATTGGCAGGGAGGAGGCTGCATGACGCTGCTGAGAGGATTGTTTTAGTTAAAGGAAACCTGTGGATGCTGGAATGATGTTTAACCCTGCATTTAGGCTTTGGAAGTCTCAGAACTTTTTTTCTTTACACTTAAACATTTCATACCATTCTCCTATAGGTAAAAACACAAATCTTCATATACAGAATGATTATTAAATGAACACAGATGATTAATGACAAAACTGAGTCACTTTAATGTCAAGTGAAAACATCGTACAAAGAAAACTAAAAATAAGAAAGTGTTAAGGTGTTGGAATATGAACATCATATCAAATAAAAACAAAATTGCAACTGAAAATGTTTTTTAAAAACTTAACAATTCACTTGGATGCTTTGGGCTTTCTGCCAAACATGAGACTAAGTCTAGACTCTACACTTTGTATGTACAATGGCTCCAACTGCAAAAGTCCATTAAAAAAGCCCTTTTATTTGATGTCATTATTTTCATTTGCAAAAGAAAAATGCAATGCTGTGTATGTTTTAACTTTATAACAATGAGGAAGTAATCACATAACACCCTGGATATTATCTCTGCATAATGAGACAATGGCACTGCAGGGTTTTTGTTCCACTGCAGATGGCAAAATAAATCACTGTCTCTCTGAAAGAAAATGTTTTTTTTTCTTATACTACCAATTTCTTCCAGAAGTTATATCAAGGTTTGGGGACGGGCTGTCGCCATCAGCAGACAACCCCTTTACCAGGATGGAGAAAAACAATAAGAAAGTCATTGTAGCACAATGTCACTTTAACCGCTACTCAGTATGGTGGCTGCTAAGTGCAGCGTGTGCACCCATTCGCAGAGGATCCTGGGAGGGATAGTGAATTTGACCAGGAGGTCTCATGCTCATCGGAGGGGGCATGGGTGGAGCCATGTGACCCATGGGGTGGAACATGGGAGGTCCAAATCCTGAGAGAGCAAATCATGAAAATACAGAAAAGGGTCATCTCTAAATGTCTTTAGTGTGCCAACATTTTTTAAGTCATTAAAAGAAATATCAGCCCTGCAGCATGAATCTAAAAATTATTTGCACGTGTTCCATGTATAATGATTTTACCTGGAGGAGGTGGGTTTATACCAGGTGGTGGGGGCAGAGTAATGTTCATGACAGCAGAGGAAGTGCTCGGGTCCAGGTTGAAGTAATTTGCAGGAGCCTCTTCATCCATTGCAGGTGGTGGAGGAAGAGCTACAGGAAATGTTAACAATAGCAACAAAGTAAAAACAAGTTTCAAATCTACAGGCCTAATATGGTATAAACACAGACACTTCAACTATCCATGTGTCTGCTGACTCACCGCCAGGAAGTCCAGGGACAGGGTCAAGTCTTGTGCCCATCTCACTGACACCGTCTTTAACTCCCTCCTTTCCTCTCGCTGCTTGTGACCTTATAAAACAACCAGTCATTGTTTAATATTACAAACAAACAAAAAGCAGTGTGTAGAGCAGTAAAGAGGCATTTAGCTTAGAAAGGATGACTTTGCATCTGAAATGGATCCTTGAAAATTTAAAATGGTGCTTGACTTATAAGATCAATACTTGCTCTTTTGTTCATTCTGTGTTATTAGAGTATAACTCGGTCTTTTGATTCATTTTACATAAGTGAATGCTGTTTGACAATCTGTGTAGAAATGGATGCACAACCACATTTCTGAATTCTGAAAAATTCTAATGGAGTGACTGTGGTTGAGTTTCATTTTCATACAGCACCCAATGTGAAAAGTGTGGAAATAAGCCAATTGGTGTTGCAAAATATTGTGAACATTTAAGTATTTTAATAAGTATTTGGTTTAAATGATGTTCAAGTGTTCATTCTCAGGACTAAATGGTGTTAATTAGCTCATTAACACTATAAATATTTACTGCTACTATTAAACAGCTGATTAAATGGATGAAAGGGAAGCTGATTTTTTTTTAATAAATTCAATTTAACATAAAAAAACATCTTGTCACAGTCATGAAGTTAATGTAACAGTGAATTTCTTACTTTCCCCACTTGACAGTCAGCCTTCTTCCGTTTATAATCAGTTTGTTAAATGACTTCTCAGCTGCTGACTCAGCTGCCGACCGGGTGGCAAACTGAATGAATGCGCACTGCTGCCTCTGGACTATTGTTATAGTGCGGATCTCGCCAAACTGGTAAAAGTGACTCCTGCAACAAAACAGATCAAATCAATCAGCTAATTTGAACAGAAGATTGTTCTTTGTTTAAAGCTAAGCAGTTGCAATGTTTTAATGGAGTTGCTCAAAAAGACATTAAAATGAACCTGCAACTGGACAACAGGAAGTTGTGCTTCATGCAGAGAAACTTACTTGAGGTCTCCATCTGTGACAGTATCTCCCAAACCTCCAATGTAAAGGGTTGTGATGGACTTGTCATCTGGTGGGTCTAACCGGGGCATAGTTGAAGCTCTTTGCAGCAGTTTATTTGCTACTGGATCATTAATACCATAGTAACGATCCTTGATGTTCTGGTCTGCAAGAGGGTCATCAGGATCTGTGGGCTTCTCATGCCTTTGTGCCATAAAGAAAATAAGAACATGCTGAAAATCTAACAATTTAGAAAAAATTAACAGGAAGTGTAAAACCTAAATTGTTTTGTTAAAAAACAACTTTATTTCATTACCTATAGGGACACTCCTCCCCTCTTTTACACTCGCCCTTCACCCAGAAGGAGCAGATGTGGGGTCGGTTCCTCTTGTAATATGGTGTGGTGCGAGCCAGTTTCAGCAGCATATCACTGGAGCTTGTGGCCTTGCCCAACTGGCCCACTGGACGTGTGCCATCAGAATTGGCTATCTATGGAAATTAAGGTAAAGATTAATTATAAATGGCTAAATTGAGAAAGGAACAAAGGAAGAGAAAAGAAATGTAAGGAAATGGTAACATATTGCCATCAAACTTTAAAGAGAAACTTTTGAAACTTTAAATGTATTGCAGTCATGTACTTTTAATACTATATAGTGATACTAAATGTAAGGAATGGTAACATATTGCCATCAAGAGAAACTTTAAATGTATTGCAGTCAACTTTCTAATAATGTACTTTTAATACTATATAGTGATACAATTGTATCACTTCTGATTTCCTTATTTAATGAAAAAAAAAAATCAGACATTAGCCATTTTATTTAACAGTATATAGACAAAATACCTCTCTCTCCATGTTTTGAGTGTAGTACTCTTTGTTCACATCTGACCGCGGAACATCATCCTTAACAGAAAGCCCAGTGTCTCGGACCTGAATGGGCAAACCTATAAAATTGAAAGGAGTGGTTTACATGCTTCAATGAGCTCAAAATATTACATGTATTCACAAATAGAACCCAAAACCGCTACTCACCATATTCCAAGTCAAGTAAACATGTCTGACAAACATTTTTCATTTTACTGCAAGTCTGACAGACTTCTGTTTTCTTGAAACGCATTCGAGTTCCAGGGCACCATCGGAACACAGTGAAGGGCCGTGCACAAATCTGATGGATTAAAAAAAAAAAAACATTTTTAATGAAAACAATTCCAAGCTGCATATATGAATGCAGTTTATGTACAGCTGCCATAAATATAATAAAACACTTACTTTGCATTCTTTTCCATACTTCTCTTTGGTCTATAATACAGTAAAACAACATACAATGACACACAAGTTGGATTTATTTAAAAGCGATGACATCCTTGTCATCAAAAGCAAAATTTGAGCTTACTCACCATTCGGATGTAAGGATTTTCACCCAAACATGTCTGACAGAGAATCGGAAAATCCTGGAAAGATAAGAAACCAGAAAGTGTTCATATCGACCAAGTTACATGTACTAGTGGCTTAAACTACATTTTACGTATTTCTCAGTGTGATTGTGTTCAAACTCTTGCTAACTCATACTTTGCCATCTGTTGAAGGATGCTGTTTCAGTCTAAGTGCTTGCAGCAGAAAATTACCTCTCTTTAATCCAAGCTGCTGATGGCATCAGCCAAAAGCCTAAATTTAAACTGCTCATGTGACAACAACGTCACCTTCGCAAAATTGTAAATCGTATCCTTGTTAAATTAACAGTGGCGACGTTTTGCCAAGTTTCGACGAGATGAAACAAGTTTAAAGCTTTAAAAGGCAACATGATTTCGATGTTCAAGTTAAAGAGCCCCGTTGTTTGATGGGCAAAAATAAAACTGAAACATTTCTTTAAGAATTAACCACCGACAAACGACCCCTCTTATTTCCATAGTAGAATATCACGATTATGATTCAGGTATGTTACCAAGGTGTTACCAACGATAGTGAAAACGTTTGTTTGAATTCTATATGCTAAATGTACTATTTTAGTTCCTTGATCTAAATCTGTTTCCATAACATTTCCTGATTAGTTTAATTAAGGTAATACATGTAAACGTTTGCACAAAACGGCGTTTTCTTGTTTTTGGCCAACTACTACTAAGCTAGCCAGGTTAGCTTGCAAAGCTAACTTTGAACAAAGATTATTTTTAAAAAGAGCGAAGAGGTATGTTTCGAGTTTGCATTCAGATAGAACGCAAGTACAATGTGAATTTATTGCAGTAGTCCGATAAAAGAGTAGAGTTGTATTGAAAACAGCGAATTTACACTTGTGTTGCTATGAACGTGCTAACGCATTTCCGACGGAACATCTCTTCGGATGCTAACAGGCTAACAAGCAACATTTTAAAATCTGGAGCAAAGGGTTAGAGTTTCCGATCAAATTCACGACGGGAATTACACTGTGGTTTATACCGTTTCGTTGTACGTCTAATCTTGACTGATGTACGGTCGCGTCCACCTACCGCATCTTCCCAATTCTGTCTGTTGTAGGTGTTGGATCCCAGGGACGTCGCCATTTTGCAGAGTGTGAGCCAACGGGAGCTATGAATGACCACAATGCACCGCGCCACAGTTCTCTATTCATCACTGGAGCCACGTTTTACCTAAGGGTGTCGCCCTTTTTCAAGATGATACCTGAGTGGTTTGTTCTATACGATGCAAAACAATAATTCTGTGCTCCGTTTTTATCTGCAAAGTAATTGATGCAGCAAGTAACGTCTAAGATGTGTGGTCTTAAAGAACCTATGCTCACGAAAATGTAGTCTTTCCTAGTAAATTATTCTAAATAAATCATAGCTATGTAATTTCATAAAATATTCAGTATGTATTGTTCAGTTGGAGGGCACACATTGTGGTTAGCATGCTTGCTTGTCATATAGCAGGAAGATGACAGATTGTCTGTTTTATGCTGGATTGGGTTGATTGGACATTCTGAATTGATTGGACATTCCATGGCTGTTTAGTTGTAGATGGTTTGTGTGAACATGGCTGTTTAGTTGTAGATGGTTTGTCTCCATACTGTGCTGTGACCCTGTGATGGACTGTTCAACTGTCCAGGGTGTGCTTCGTCCTCACCCTATGACTGCTGGGATGGGCTGTAGCATTACTTTGGATTCTGGAAATAATTTCATGATAGGAGATAAACAAATGATGATTTTCAAACAGATTTATAATACACTTAATGTATGTGAGTAAGTGTAATAATGCCATCAAGACTTGAAGGTTAGTGCGCGAAGGCCATTGTAAGCCAATTGTGTGAATTCTACTTACAGTTCATCCGACCACCTGTTCCAAAGTCAGGTCATGGTATCTATACGTTGTACAGCGCTAATTAGTGAAGAGCGGATTATGGAGTGGCATTAAGTCCCTTATGTTTATTTAAGGGTCACGGTAGGGGTGGGAGGCAGAAAACAGGGATTAGACTCTGTTGTCTGTTTCCACTTTCCTGTTTTGTCTGCTGGGTGGAGTTAGTGTGATCACATTCACTTGTGTTTCTCTAATTAGACTCACCTGCTACCCTGGGTATTTATACCCCACTCTGTCTTTGAGGGCTCATTGTTCAGTTCTGTTCATGGTCAGTCCATGTGGAGTCTGTTGTGTTTAGGGTTCATGCATGAAAGTTCTTTTTTTTCACATAGTATTAACAAATGAGTTTATTTTGTTATTTTTGTATGTTGTTATTAAACCTGCTGCACCCAAAGAGAATCACCCTTGTGCTGCATTTGGGTCCTGCCTACTTCCTGCCATGTCGACCGCATGTAACACTCCAGCCTCAATATCTTTGAGGGCTTTCACAGTGCAGGTAGCACTCATCTGCTCATAAAGAAAGTCTACTATAGACAACTCCAGTGGGAATGATAATCATCACATCTTTCTTCTACGGTGTTGCGTTTGATGCCAGATAAAAAAGTTTCAACGTATAATCAGTTATGTTGCGGTTATCAGCTGCTCCTGTGATCATATTTCCTGAATAAAATATCAATCCTCCTTATTATCCCTGACTGTGTTCTTCTACTCCACATGGTCTCCTACTCCCTGGCTCTCTGTTCCTGGCACACCAAAGCCAACCCTCTGGTGATCACCGTCTTTGTCCTAACGGGTTGTGTAACCCTGTGTTGTAGATGAAACCACTAAAGCTGTTTTCAAGGGCAGTTTTGTATTAGATCTGGTCACTCCATAATAAAAATGACTAACTAAGTGTGAAAAGGTCATGGGGTCATAGTGGTATAGCATTCTGCTGCCAGAGCTCTTCTGCTTTTGATGCAACTATTTTTGTCATTAAAAAAAGGTCTGCTACTTCTCAGTTTAATCTTTTAAACTCAAACACATCTTCTTAGACTCATGGAGTAAATATTCATAAAAAAAATAATTCACAGAAGTCTTTCACAGAATACTACAAGGGCTCAAAGACACCTCTGTCAGCAGTAGTAAAAATGCCTGCACCACCTGCACCAGCCAGGTCTGGCTGTGTCTTTGAGAAGTCAAAGAGTACCCAGAGTAAGCACAGTGTATTCACAACTAATGCCTCAGAAAAATGTGTTGTGGTACCGAACTGCATACGCGTCAGTGTACAGCGGGTGTGTGACACTCGCTTTAGTGTGATGCTGTGGATGGAAAACAACATTTTTATAACTGTTTGCAATTCATTGTCACATCCAACAGTCAGTGTCTGTCTGTCTGTATCTATCCAGCCATCCTTTATGCTAACTATTCATTATTTTAAATGAATAGTTTTATTCAGTATTTTTCAAGGTCATTGTAAATCTAATGGTGTTGAATGGCCCGTTTAAAATTATTAATCATAATTATAGATTGGAATATATAATGAACATCCTATCTAAAACATCCTCATCTAACAGCTAATTTACACCATAACATTAAATAAGCTAGTTGATAGCAACCTTGCATGCGTAGAACTAAATGTATTTTTAATGTAAAAAAAGAAATTGTACAGATGCTGTCATATGCAGTGTATCAGACTTTTTTTTCTTTTGAAAGACAATAAAGTGCAGCACCGTCATATACAGGGATGTTTAATGTCCTCTGGAATATACCACCTTCTTGCATGCATACATTATCCTGCGTTCCTCTTGTTTCAGCCGTACTCTTGAGAGGTTGCCACAGCGAATTATGGAACTCCATGATCTCACCCTATACTGTTGGCAGCTGCACCTCCAGCATCCATTGTTCACTATGTTTACTGCCGTTCTCCAAACTGCTCAACCTTCATCAGATATGTTCCATGCCATCCCTGTCTATCAAGGTCACTTCTAATTAAAGAATCCCATCATTTTCAAAGCTGCCGGCCAATATTTATACAATGTTCACTGAAACCAACAAACCAGTGAAGACCACGTCGGCGAAACCACTTCTCCATTTTTATTTCAATTTCTGAACTTGTACAGTTGGTTAAGCTGCTTTTTGTTCTCACTTCTAAAGTCTATTTCACAGTAATCACTTGTTCACAGTTTGCAGAAAACACACATTCCTTCTTCCTTTCATGTAAATTAGTCACAGCCTTTTCTTTTCCCAGTACACAACTGGCTTCAACCCACTTTCTAAATATAGGGCAATTCAAAGGCAGAGGGGCATGAAGACCATTGAAATGTTGGAAAAGCTGGGTTTATTACCGAACCGCTCCCCACTTAAATGTAGCGTCGAAGTTTTTATAATCTCTAATTAAAAAGTGTCATATTTGGGAGATTGGGAGGGGACACATTGTTTTCCCTTGTTTTATATCTCTTCTCATCTGTTTTTATTATTAACAAAACACTGAGGTGAAGTGTGTGTGTGAAAACCTATTGGGCAATTATGCACCTGTCTCGGATTTAATCAGTGAGCTGACAGTGGAAGTGATTATACTGATTTACAGTGAATACATAATTTAATACTTTTAATAAAGACTATTTTTACCCACCAAAATGATAAGGTCTGAATATTTTAAGAGGATCATTGTATCAGGTGTAGATGTAGTTTAGTCATTATGGTGTTTAAAGGCAGGTACTTTTCTTTTCAATGCTATTTTTTTGTCATTATTATAGTACAAAATGTTGTGACTCCTCAATCTATGAACTGAAGTCACTCCTTGTCAAAATTAAGATGACAGTAAATTATATTGTTTTTTTTCTTTTTTTAATCGGTTATCTTTGTTGTTGTGTAATTGCTTTGTCTCAATTGGGGATGTAGTTAGCTATGAGTCTTGACCTCTGAACCTCAGGGGGACGTTTCATGGACTTAAAACTGAACTTTGTTTTTGTTTAAATTTTTTGAACCATATAAGTGGCTCTGTGTGATATCTGCGACTGTGTTTTGGTTCATTCTGACCCTGTGGTTGGATTTTCTCCCGACCTTCATCTGTCTTTTTATCTTTGCCCTATTCTGGTGTTTTTCCATATTATCTCCCTTCCGTCCGTCTGTTCTTCCTGTTGTTCTGCCTCTCCTCCCAAATCCCTCACCTGTGTGTTCTCTCTGCCACTGCTCCTCATACACCAGTTTGTTATTTTGTATTTTTGTCTTGTGCTCAGCTAGTGTTGAGTCATTTTGTTGTGTTAGCTCTTGGCAGTTTGTCCCCTGTGCCTTTTTATGACAGTGTGTGTTAAATCAAGAAATAAGTCATCTCTAAATTTTTCAGAGTTTGTTTCGTTTATTTTTTCACTGTAACAGTCAAGCCCACCTGCAGGGAGACACGACAGGAGTTTTAATTTTGACTTCTGCAGAGAAGACTAATGTAACAAAGGAATTCAATTATTTTTCTTCTTCTTTTTTTGTTCTATTCAGTTCTTGGTTAAATCAAGGGTTGTCTTTGTAAAAATATTAGTGCAGGGGCTGACAATGAGTCAGCACGGATGTTTTAAAACAACGTTCATTTTAAAAATGACTTGGAGCTGCAGCTTTAAAATATAAAAAAAATATATATTTTCAATATGTTTACCGTTTTTAATAAAAGGTAAAGAAACAATAAACAAACAAATAAATAAATAAATACTAGTTATGACATGTCAATCAGTGCTGTGATTCGTCAATACCAGAAACAATTTGCACTGATTGCGAGCAATTTATTGACGTTGTTGGTGCACTCAAATTGAACCGACCGTGTTTTTTTTACCATGACTCAAATGATTGACTATAACAAAACAATAACACTGATTAATGTTGTAATATGCGTGAGTACTGTAGTGACGTAGCCTTGATTTCAATCCATTCATGTCACTTTACAACCATCAGATGTTTTAATTCTTTTGGATTTTTATCCAAGAATTGTCATGTTAGGTCCTTTAGTTACAGTCACTGTAGACATGCTGTACATAAGAGTAGTGTTTAGAGCAGTATTTTTGATGCAGGTTCTATTAGATTATTGTGAGTAACTAAAAGGCCAAGTGTTCCACCTGCAGTGCTCGAGGATGTAATTAAGTGGCATAGAAAGCACTGCATATTGACAACTTGATTTAGTGCAATAGAGCTGCTTTCATTTAACTGGCGCTACAATTAAACTCCCACTCCCTCCAACATTTACGACAGATTTAAACAAAAAAAGTCTCATTTGTCTAGTGAATAGTAAATCAGATAGAACAGATGAGAAAGAAGTCTTTACTTTGTTTTTTTTTTACCTCAACAAACTTGTTACAGAGATGAGTATTTAAGTATTATCCACCTGTAATTAATGTGGGCCCACGTGTTGCCTTAGGTTAGCAATAATTTAGCAAACGCAACTAAATGTTGTCCCATAATGAATAAAACCCCAAAAGAATGCCGTGACAAGTAGACCAGATGAAGCTGAAAGTGTTACAGTAAAAAATCGTTAACCTACAAGACGTGCTATGAACAGGTTTGGTCTAATCATATGAATTGTCATTTTTCTAAAGCCAAGTTGAATTTAGCTTTTAAGAGTCATAATGGTCTTGATTTCAAAAATGCACCTCGGGACAAATTGGGAGGATTGTGCGCTAGGGTCAACAACCAAAGATAACACTTCTCTGCAGCCTGAGAGCTGACACACAGTGACCTGTCAACACATGACAAAACGTATGCAATGTCAACATGACTGGGAAGTTGTTTTTTACAGAAGGCTGTAGAAAAATGTGAACTTAGGTCAATTATTACCTCTGACAAAACTATATCAATTCGTACATTTCCCTACGTTTCCATTAAAATGATTTTTTCTGGGTCTGCACCTACAGTATTTTCCCCTAACGTGCCCTGAGAAGCCCTTCTGAATTTGCACGAGAAAAAATGATTTGGTGGGGTAAAAACATTAGCAAAGTTAATAAACAGTGCAGCGGCAGTTAAACATACTTGTGGGAAAATGGACCACACTGATTCGTTTCAGGGGTTGTATAGTAGCTTTAATATGTGCACACATCACAGACCGCGGTTCGCTGAGCTGGCGCCTCCTGTCGACAGTTATGGGCCACTGCGGCCGTACTGAGCTGCAGAGAGTGAGGGAGCTACTACACACAGAGAGAGGGGCACTCTCAGATTTCTCGCCGTGTCCGCTGTGCCGCTTCCACATCACTGCCGACAGTAGCTCGGAACGACGACGACGACAGACGCCTAGTGTGCTTCATTGCCATATGTAACCCCGCTGACCGCACTCTTAAACCAACCGTGGTTCACACAAGGTGAGTACCTCCAGACAACACGAGTCTGGTCGCGGTGTTTTCGGTAAGCGAGTGCCGCGCCGCTCGCGCTCTGTCTCACTCTCTCTCCCGGGCAGGCTTAGGCCAGCGAGCGCTGCTTAGCGCAGACGGAAGGCCGGTCTCTCGGCCTGACTCTGCCCAGGCTGGAAACACAAAAGCTCGGTGCAGACAGGGGAGGTTATCTGTAGCTCCCAGCTCAGCCTATACGGCGGCGGAGAGAGGCTAACGCTACCCTGTAAGCGGCTCGTGTCGAAGTTTGAGCCCAGAAAAGAGCTCTGTCCGGCGGCTCCGCTCTGTGGCTGTTTGCAAGGATTCCTTTTTTTTTCTGCCGGGTCTTTTACCCTGCAGCCCGGCACCAGCGACTAAGTTGTTTGTGTAACTTTGTAGCAGCATCGTTGGAGCTCCGTGTCACAACGTGAAAGGCTCATTCCCGTAACAGTGGAGTAATTTATCCACTAACGTGACTCCACTGCGCGGATGGGGCGAACGATTTTCTGTTTAAAAATCATAATAAAATGTCGATATAAGCGTTTAGCACTTTATCTAACAGCGCTCCACTTGACAAGAGCTGGACAAAAGACCCAAAAAGAAACAGACCAGCACTGGCTCCACATCACTTTGTTGTGATGGTTCCAGAGAACTTGGGTTCATTACGTGCAGTGATGACAAGCTGTGTTATGACACGATTCATCAGATTACTGCAAAGAATTCGCATGCACGCTGACTACTACAGATGTAACATCAGCGCCGTTTAACGACATGATTTAAAACGAAACATAAAATAAATAAATAAAAAACTCACACAATGCAAGGCCAGTGCTAGATATAAATTGACAGTGACAATTTATCAGTCTGCAACAACTAATCGACGTTGTATGATTGTAATGATTAAACGGTTACATAAATATGAATGGGATCCAGAGAATCTGCTCCTGAGTTTCATCTGCAGATAATTCTCCTATAGAACTGAATGGAATGTATTTGGTTTGTAGACGAAAATTATTAGTTTGTTGATTTATTTTACATTGCATGGGTTTTTTATATGGAATTGAGTCATTGTGCAAAAAGTCTTAATGGAAGTAATTCGTTGTTGTTATTTGTCTTCAATCTGACTCCAAGGATGAGTTGCACAAACAAATGAGTCATGAATAATCTACAAGTCAATTATTATTTGCTAAAAGCCGGAACCTTTCTCAGGCAACCTCCAGTGACGTTTACCACAACTTTTTGCATGTTAGGAACTAAATGACAGGTTGACTAATTAAAGAAATAGTAATCGTCTGATTCGTCGACTTACCTTGTTGCGTGGTCAGATGTTTTTTTTTTAATTAGTTCAGCGATCATTGGGTCCAATGAAATGCAAAGCAAATGTGGAAAATGTCAATTGGGCCATTTAAAGCCTAACAATGACATCATGTGTAGATGTTTCGGTTTAGACCTCAAACCAAAGATATTTTGTTTGCTGTTGTAGAGGAGCAAAGGAACCAAAACATATTTGTGTTTAAGATGCAGTTGAAGAAATTTACTCCAGATCAAAACAATTTGCATTAAACAGTTAGTTAACTCATGGTCACAACCTCATACTTGACTAAGGAGTATTAGAGAATATTTTGAAGATCACACAGTTAATGCAGTGTTCAGTAAAGGGCTGTATTTACTGTAGAAGAGCGCTGTGTGGTGTAAGCCGCAGCAAATTTCTGCCCTACATATAGTGAATGCTGTAGCTTTGACTGTGGGGTAAAAAAAAGGGGGAGTTGCAGTTCAGACCTGCCTGAAATCTCTAGCCTTGAGGTGTACACACGTGCAAGTGTGCACCTATATGAGTAAGGGATTACTCAAGGAGAATGAGTCACACTCACAATATGTTTGGCAAAGTCATAAGGACTTTTCCTGCATTTTGCTTCTGCTGCAGAAGCTGTTGATGAATCTGAAAATTGCTGTCCTCTGACTTTATGTATCACGAGATTAATTTCCCCGGCGCACATTTTTATGCTCTCTCCGAGACATGAGCGCTACACATTTTTATGCTCTCTCCGAGACATGGTGTTCATCACAGGTTTCACTCTGCATTCATAAAAAAAGGGAAACCTACATGTTGGGCTTTTTCCAATTTTAGGTTTGATTAGAAGACTGAAGTTGTCAATTTTAAGGAGAGCTGCTCTCTAAGATCCATTTTATTTGTCTCTGCCAACTGTTTGTCTGTCTTAACCCTCCCCCTGACTGCTTGCACCACCTGCCAAACATGCTGTGATGTAGCACTTTCAGTTGATGAAGGCTGGCACTGCTGCTGCAGCCATTTGATCATATATCAGCATCTCTTCACTTGGATATGCCTGTTAAGGGCTGCTGCTGCTGGTGGGTTACAGTATCTACCCTTGGCTGAGGATGAATGCTGTAGGCATGACAGTGTATGACAGATCATGTCAGCAATTGGTGTTTGGCCGTTTATCAAAATTAGATACGATCACAGACGATTCATCATTTTTGGGGTTTTAGGCAGTGAGCGGGGAGAGGTTGAGGACTGCTGTGTTGTCATTCATAGCTGGGACTGTTTTATCTCTGGATATAAAGTTGGGCCTCGGCTGCTACATTCAGTGGCCAACAAGGTAACTGTTAATGAACCGCAGTCCCCAAGACATTTTGGTTCTCTAATTTTTCCATGTCAGTGCTCTTGTCACCATACTGTGTGTCAGTGGGGGCAGGCATTTTTCCAAGACCCCTTACCTCCTCCTCTAACCCCCTTTATTTTTCCAAAGCACTTCTCCTTCTGGCTGTTATAGTAAAGATGCTACTTCAAATGCAATTCTTCCACTATTTGTTCCGCATTTGATTTTTTTGTTTTTTTAACAATGTAATTTCAAATATATTAAATATATTTAAATATATTGAAGACCTTCCCTGTTTTTGCATTTGATTTTTTTGTTTTTCTTAACAATGTAATTTCAAATAAATATATTGAAGACCTTCCCTGTTTTGGGGAGGGGTACACCTTCATCAGCAGTGTGTCAAAATGTAAAGTATGCCTATGTTTTTCTTGTGTTTCAACAACAGATCAGCAACTTTTATATTGCATATGTGCTACCTGCCATATTTGATGTCATTGTGTAAACATTGGCACCAATAATTACCCTGGTTTTATGAAAAGAAATGACAAACAAGAAATATCAAATAGAAGGTCCTCTATTTGATATTTCTATTATACACCTCTACTAGACGTCTCTGCATCAAATACTTCCCATGGCAAAATAACATGGGGTTTGATTTTATTTAATTCATTTTTTGTTTAATATTTTAAAACAGAATATTATCCTGCAGACTAAGCCTTAAACAAAATATGCTGATTACTCTTAAAACCCAAGACCCATACAATTTATTAGGGCGACCCACTTCTGGGTCACAATTCACCATTTGAGAAACACTGCTCTTGACAATAGACTGTAAGTGGATGTGAGACCAGTAGGCTGCTGTTTGCCTCGCTATTTCAGTTGTTTCGGTTTGTTCTTCTGGAGGGGGGTTAATTTGACAAATCACAGGTGGCAGTTTGTACTAATAACTTATGTAGCCTGTTAAGTCCTGAGTTTGTCGTGACAGACTGGAATGTGGCTGTGGCTTTTCTTGGCTTAGGCCCTGCTATCCTATTGTGGCATATATTGGATAGAAAAAAAGGAGTAAATTCAGCTGAAATGGAACAACATAGCCGAGTATTCGCAAATTATCCAATAGCATCTCTAATCTGCCGAAAAACCTGGAGAGTTGTTTTTGAATAGTGTTAGCCTCTATCAGATAGTTGGCAGACACCAGGGATGTCCACATGTGTGACTGGCTGGCTAAGCTAGCGACTCGGCTGAATGCTACAGTATGCAGGCAGATCAGATTACCAGACGATTAGCCATGGCCTCCTACCCCCAGCCCAGGGAAATGATTTTCCACTGTCATAATTCCCAAGACTGAATTACGCAGGCCAGTGACTCAAAGATACTCAATACTACAGCCACGAGTACTGTACAGCATAACTGTGTTCCCTCTGGAGAGAAGAGATAGGACAAAATGGGTTTCCATTTGAATTGCTGGTCTAGCTCCGGTGCTTCCACTCCAACATGGTAGGTAGTGTGACCCAGGATCAACATTGTTCTCACAGGAAATGGATAGAGAGGCTGTTATGATCTTCACACTTCTGCAGGGAGAGTGCTAGGAAAAAAAGCAGCTGCAAAACGGTCACAAAATTCAACACAGCCATTAACTCGTCTGTACTGTTGTGATTGGTGCATCGGGAGTGTGAGAATATGTAAAATGGGCATCAAAAATGTGTAAATCAGACAGGACCCTTGTGGAATTCTGCTGTATGGAAAGATAGGGGGAAAAAATGAGTGGCTGGGTGGGGGGAGAGGACAAGTGGGAGAGGCTCGCTGGTGGAGGTAGGACCATGTTTCTAAGGTGCTTACGCCCTGAGGCAGGAATCTGATACATTCCAGAGGCTCCTGTATCCCGACGAATAATGGTGACTAGGGTGTAGTGTTTCATCAGGTGACACATGATTGGAGCGTAAGTGCTGGGAAAGTAAAAGCGATGTCATAGGCTCAGAGGTTTCCAGCTCTGGTTGCCTGAGGGATCGGGAAGTATGCCAGATGAGCACGACGGGTTATGTGAGATATGGATTTATCCCCAGTAGAAGACAGCCTGGTTTTTATAGCTCTTTTGATTATCTCACCCTCAGTTCCCCTTTTACCCCTGTCATTGTTTATGTACAGACCTTTACATAATTTTAAGCATTAAGGTGAAAACAGTGATGCTTAACAGGTGGCAATGAATGGCATCATGGGGGAAACCTCAATTTTTCACAGGCAGATTATCCTCCATCGTACTCCTATTAGGCCCACAGTGGAGGTTACTCTGAAAAGGGATTAGCTCTCAAATGACTACTGATGAATAACCAAAAAACTCATTACTTCCTGCTCATCTTGTCTGTGGACAAGTTAATACAT